GACAGTTTTCTATGAATTTTGTACGAGATTGTGTATTGTGACGTCACATTTTTTAGCTTCAAAAAGCATACTTACTCATCATCATCATCATCAGCCTGTATTCGTCCACTGCTGGACATAGGCCTCTCCTATGGCACGCCACTGAGCTCGGTCTTCAGCTCTTCTCATCCAACCACTGCCAGCCACCTTGCAGATGTCGTCACTCCACCTAGCTGGAGGTCGTCCTACACTGCGGTTGCCCAGACGCGGTCTCCACTCTAGAACACGTTTACCCCAGCGGTTATCGGTTCTTCGACAAATGTGACCGGCCCACTGCCACTTCAGCTTACTGATCCTTTGGGCTATGTCGATAACTTTGGTTCTCTGTCGGATCACTTCGTTTCGGATTCGATCCTTCAAAGAGACTCCGAGCATAACCCTCTCCATAGCTCGCTGCGCGACCTTAAGTTGGTGGACCAGTCGCACTGTCAGTGTCCACGTCTCGGCTCCGTATGTCATTACTGGTAGGACGCACTCGTTGAAGACTTTTGTCTTCAGGCTTTGCGGTATCTGAGACGAGAAGACCTGATTAAGTTTTCTATATGCTGCCCAGCCAAGCTGTATCCTTCTGCGGGCCTCCTTTTCGAAGCTGTTCCTACCACACTGCAGTGTTTGTCCTAGGTAGATGTATTCCTGAACGACTTCGAGAGGCGACCCGTTGAGAACAATTGGCTCCGGAATGACATGTTAATTGAACATTATTTAAAGAGGGTGAGCCTATTACCATATATCGGGCACATTTCTAGGCTCCGTGCTACTACTGAGATTAAAAAAAAATAACACTAATGAGCCCCTTACTCGGCAGCCACACTTGCAGGCTTTAATAATCTGTTTAAAAAAAAAAGCTAAACCAGGGCGTACCACTAGTATAAAATTGGATAAAAGTACTAAAAGATTGTATTTACCTACCATTAGAACAATAATACTGTACCTAATCATTAGTATGCCTACAATGATCGGCTTCGCTTCAAATAATAGAATAGTTGATTGTTTGCGATATACTTACTTAAGTACCTACTAGAAACTGCGTTTCTTAACTGATTTATTGGTAGTGTTCAGCCAGGTATTAGTTATTTGCGTTTTATTTTATACTGGAATTACCTACCTAATTTTCAAAGATGGTACGTATAAAAAGCAGGCTTACAGACGGATCTCCTGATGGTCGTCAATATAAGCACCGTTCAACCATTGCCCGCAGTCAAACCATTGCAACGGTTTTGTGGGGCTTAGATTATAAAATACTTACCTGTGTGATATTAAGATAAATAAATTAAATTAAAAAAATAAAGATGATGGACATCCGTCTTCCGTCCGTCACACCAGAGGAGCATGTGCATTACCGCCCTTTTAACGAGGAGAGGTCCTCCGGTTACCTCACTCACATAATAAGAGCGTTGTTTCACACCAGGTCTATAATAAACTCCGTATACTTGAAATCTCATAAATAACAGCCTGTATAACACGGACTGTAAAACCATATTCTTAGCAGCATAGTTTACGACTAGACGAACAATGAAGTTCTGTGTATTGTAAATAAATAAATCTCATTTTCAATAAAAAGGTTCATTTATCAATTTTTTAATTTAGTTCAACGAATTACTTCGTCCCTGAAGGTCACTGAAACGAGTTCCATTGTTCATTGTTCAATATTTCTTCACGATCTATGTTTGCTTAGAATATTTGATTAATGATACTTATAAGTCAGATTGTTTCTATTTGTGAAGTTCATTACACAGTAATTACCTTTCAGTGTTAGTGTACGAAATATAAACACCTCTTTTTTAAGAAGGAAAACATTAATAATAGGTGTATCGACCTCTTTGTATGAAAAAATATGGGCAGGTTACGTTTAGCCTGCCGTTAATTTCATAGGTGATTCATGTGCGCTCAAAAAGAAAGAGCTTATCGAAAAAACATATGTAGGTGCTGAAGACTTTACCTCGTCTACTTTAGACACACATAAAACCAGAAAAAAAGAAGACTAGATAAATGGACCTAGATGATTTTAGTAACTGAGAATAGTGTCGCTAATCTGTGTTCTGTGTCGTATCTTACGTTCATATCTTAACTCTAATTGGCCATATTTTTTTCCTATTCTTATCCCGATCAACGTGGAGTTAGTTGATCACAAATTCCTTTCATCATGGTCATTCTTTCCAGAATTAATCTATTTCATATTATTTCTCTTATCCTCTATCTTTTTATCCTTTCGCATTTAAATTAATTTTGGATTAGCCATGATATCTATTATAATTCTTGAATGCTATATTTATTCTACTTCATTCGAAGCCAGGATCACACTCAATATTAAACATCGCACTCAAGACAACTAAACTTAAAGTTGCAACAAAGACGAAACGATTATACAGAAACCTATAGTAAGAAACTACTTTAGTTATTACTAATTAGGTACTAATTTAAATAAATTACAAACACGTGTTGTTTATATATTAGCACCAACCTCCAATTTAGGTATATAAAATCTGCTGCACGTTTCACTCAACGTGAACCGCCTAAGATTAGGTAATACGTTTTTTTAAACGCAATTTTTCAACAACTGTTTGAGGCCAGTGACTGGATATTTGATTTACAAATGACATACATACCGCATCTGAAATATTCTTCATCCATACCTAATATTAAAAAGATCAAACATTTGATTGGTTGTCAGTTTGTGTTTACTCCGAAACTATTGGACTGTTTTGAAAAATTCTTTTACCTTCAGAAAGCTTCCTTTTCAGGATCGTAACCTATCCGAAAAGAGGAAGAAAATCCTATCCTAAATTCCGTACGGACGAAGCCGTATGCGGAAAGCTAGTAATAAAAACATTTTAATAAATTCTGTTTGTTTAACCTTGGATAGGTGTGCGAAGCTATAGACAAGAGAAAATTTTGAATACAATACGTACAATAGGATAATAAGCTTTGAGAAATTCGCGAGGAAACTCGAAATAATAAAGATATAAACATAATTAATTTCATGTACCTATACAAAATAGATTATAACACCAGTCCCCGGTTTGAAAACACAATCGTCAGTTGATTCAAACCAAAAGCACCATGACATTCCATTTGAATAAACCAAATAATAATTCCAGTCGGCTTCGGCCCCTCCTACGCCTTCCAAATGACCAGGACCCTGTGGTCCCGTGAATAGTAGAGACATACATAATAATAATAATAAACACACGCGTAGCGACATCTATTGCAAATTCTTTAACTTGCAATAAAATATTAATTATTATGTAAAATACATTAATGCTATATACCACATAAAAGTGTGATTAGGTACTACCTACTATAACTATTTATATTAAAAAAATATTCGAATTTAATCCCAACACAGTACTGCCATCTGTTTTTACAACTGCGTACTACTAACACAAATCAAGTTTGAGTGAATTATGGAAAGCAAATAAATGTGAAGAATATAGTTAGATAATGAGATAGTGCCCGAACGTGCTAAAAAGAGGGCACCACTGTAGCAAGATTAGAAAGACAGTTTTAAAAGATTACCCCCCACACTCATTTTAAGGTCTCTAAGCGTAAGGGCAGTAGAATGCTCATATTTGTCTTAATAATTTATCATTATTTTTACTTGTGAATCATATTACAGCACAAATAGGCTGATTCGACTGAATACTTGAACTTATAGAATACCGGCAGCGTGAAATGACTGTGGCACCTGTTTATTATAGACTTACACTATTTTTTTATGCCTGGCAACGTGGTAACCCATTACACACGCACGCTCATTTATAAGTGACCAATGATATTTTTTTAAATAGAATATCATTGTAAGTGACATTATCTTTTTTCTTTTTTCAACATTCTTGGCATAAACAAAAGACGTCGTATGTTGGTTTTTTAATAAAACTTCAGAATGTGAGAAAATACATTTATCTTTTAATATCACTAAACATATCAATAGATACATGACACATTTCTATACCAATAAGATAACAATAAAATAGTTATTTTCACAAAAATATCAAACTTAATACTGTACCTATTTATAATATGTAATTTGTATTAATTTCTTGGCTATCGTAGACTTTGATGGCCCAAACCGTTATGATAATGATATAATCCATTAACAAAAATTGTAGATAATTAAAAACACGTTTTTTAAAAATAGAACTAAATTAAATTATCGACTAAATAAAAATGCAGCGCTGATATTCGCACTATTATGACACAAGTACTTTGAACTTCATAATAAAAATATAGTCCATTTGTTTGACAATGATATCACAATAAAATTAAAAATACCTATGTATCGTCATTTATTAGTACGTATAACATTTCAAACGTTTTAGCTCAAACTAAACATCTAATAAGGCGTTTTCAGACAATTGCAACATCATTATTACAGGCCAACTTAAATGAAGTTGTCAGACGTCCCTAAGCTACAGTAAATGGTTTTTATCAGAAGGGTTGTTAGAGTAATTTATAGTTGGATTGGAGTCTGTTCGGGGCCCGTGACAAGTTCATTGGATAGGCCCCCGTTCCCAATAAAAAACAGAGATATTCAGGTGAAAACCTCTAAAATTCCAGGTCGGGGCCTGTGGCATTTTGCCGATTGATCACCCTATACCTACTTACGCCACTGCCCTAAGCGACAAAATAGTGTGTCCGATTTTGAAAATTGTTATAAAATATTAAGGTTCAAAATAATACATTACAGGTTCGTAGACAAAATATAATCTGTTTTTATAATAACTATTGTGACACTAAATTAAGTAAAATCGCGGGTTACTCACGTAAAATACTGAGAAAAGGTCTACTAGTTTCGAACCACAGAAGGGTTCTTCCTCATGAGCAGCGTGTGCGGTCGCGGCGACGTCGCGCAGCTCACGCAGTATATTCAAGTGAGTAACCCGCGATTTTACTTAAAATATAATCTTTAGTTGAAAACGCTTTAAAAGATTGTTAGTTCCTATTAAACCCTGTAGCTGGAGCTAGCACGACAGACCACCACCCTCGTTGCGTTCCAGTTCCCGCCTTACATAAGCCGCCTGCTCTTCAGTCAAGCCCAGACTTTGGACTTCTTTGTCGAACTGGGCTTTACCCCCCATTCCAACTAAGTAGCCATTCAACCTGGCTGCCACGTGTGATGTCTGCAATTTTTCCGCGTCCAGGCCCAGACTCTTGCACAGATCCTTATGACCTTGCAGCCTGTATTTCTGGTGGTAACTGGAATAAAAAAATTGTAGTTGTTAGACATGTTGACAGCTATCCCATAAGTATTTATAATAACAAAATTTGTTAATACAAAAGTAGTCTGTAAGCATTAGAAATAAGGCCTATAAATGAGTGCGTGGTGAGAGGACACCGGTGTCTTCTTGGGGATTTAGAAGTCCACCTGTGATATTCGATTGCTGGAATTCCACTGCTTACCACAATCTCTTCGCTTAGCAGGTGGGGCGCAGAGTGCAATTTAAAATGCTAATCAGCTAAATAAACGGCTTTGATTGTATTCATTTTAAGGGAATGAAAGTGACAAATATCTCATAAACAAACTACGATAAGTGTGGTCATAAATAAATATTAGTATTAAACTGTCAAACACCAAGCGGTCACCGGTGACCGCGACCTATTGTTCTTTAATTGTGTCTATAAAACCGGTACTCGACGAGTTAATGGCCTTAACGGCGCTAAAATTTCTCATTTACTATCTAAGAAAAATAAACACATTGTGACCAAAACTACGTTGTATTTTGTATATCGACACTAATTTTATCAGTACACACTAAACAATAAATATTAATTAGTTATCTTTAACTAGCTATCTATACTAACATCACGTGTTAAACATTCAATTGCGCTTCAAGAAAACCAATTGTATTGATTTGACCGGCACAACGAACTTGTTGATTGATATGATCTCAAGTTCATAATATAAATCTTTTCAATTGGCTAGGTTTGTGTTGGTGTAAAGGTCCTAATAGATATCAATCAAGATTGGGGAATTATACTTATTTAGAGGTAGATATTTTTTTTATTTAACAAAAAAGACACAGTAGATAACTAAGGTTTCTTTTAAAATTGCTGGCAACGTAACAGTAACGGTTCGGTATCAACGTTAAAAAAAACAATCGGCAGAACATAGTACCTCCTTTTTTTGAAGTCGGTAAAAATATACTCCATTCCAATTAGATCAAACGGCTATAAAATTAGGATGACTTTTGCCAGTCGGGTTCCAAAAGAGTCTCGTCAGAATCTTACCTCTCTTAGGAGTCTTTTGGGATCTTTTTGGGGCCCAAAAACTAAATGACTCCGCTCTCCTGCCACTAGTCGCAATTCGCATTTTTATATTTCAATCAACCCTACCAAGAAAGCCTAGTCCGGATCTGTATCCACCCTATGATTTCTTAAATAGCTCTGATTGAAAGGAAAATTGATACATGTGCAGAATTGAAACTGTAACCGATTCACACATGGTGCCCGGACATTTAATGAGACGTGGACCCTGGCCTGATTGTTGCCATAATCGACACTTATTTATGTATGCTATGCGTTAAATATTCGAAGGTTGTTGCTAGATGCCTAACCAAGGTGAATTTTTATACCGACTTCATTAGTAGGTAGATAATGTTGCCTAGTATCATGTCGCAGATTCCCATTTAATTTTATTAATGGCAACATTGTAGTATAACTGCTCATTCAATGTAGGTATTTAGGTTAATACTTGTAGGTAAAAGTTGGTTAATGTTAATAGATATTACGTACATATTAAAGAAACAATGTATTACGAACATAGTCTTACGTGTGTGGGAAGTTTGTCTCTTTAGAAAAAACACGTGTATAACATTAAATGACGCATGGTTCACTTACTTTGTGATTTATTTTACTTTTCATATAATAATTGTTTTAGATTAGATACGGTGCAACATTTTTATTAAGTTAGTGTATTCAGTTAACTCTGTGCCAAGACACAGGTCCATAACTTACTGGAGCAAAACCTTCATAAGGCGCCCAGTTTGTTAGGGAAAATAAGAAGGGTGGGATTTTTGCCACACTAAACAAAACCTACCTACTCGGTGGAGAACACCAGTTACACCACAACCTTATGAAGCCCTATGTGTCTTCGTAGAGATTCGTTGTGCACCGTAGCACGTGACGCCTATGCCACCGTCTCATAGATATAGATAGTTTTTAATATTTCTGTGCACCACCTTCCCTGAGGTAGGGTGGGCTAGATTCCAGGGTGATTTAGAGACAGAAAGGTGTAGGTTGACCAGCTGGTCACTATACGTATAAGTTGGTACTTACTCCTCAGCAGGGTAGAAGATGCCAGCCGGCGCGATTTCAGTGCGCAGTGGTTCGTTGACGCGCTCCTGTGTCGTCTTGTACGAAGCCTCCGCTGCCAAGCGCTGCTCCTCATCGTGGTACAGGATCATAGATTGGTACTGGAATGTAAATGAAAGAAAAATAATTAGTACGTTTGAAGATTGAGACTGACTCGTTGGCCGAGTGGTCGCAAGTGCGACTACCGGGTAAGGGGTCTCGGGTTCGATTCCCGGGTCGGGCAAAGTAATACAGGGTTTTTTAAAAAAATCTCAGTAGTAGCACGAAGTCTGGAATTGTGCCCTGTATATGACAATAGGCTCACCCCCTATTACATGGGACTCGTAACATAATTAGTGAAAAGTGGGTGTTACTTCTGTGTGCACCTCTGCCTACTCCTTCGGGGATAAAAGGCATGATGTTATGTTATGTTACGTTTGAAGATATTCTCAGGCTTAAAACATAGAACTGTAGATGGTAAAAGACAATATTATTATGATGCGTCATGTCATATCTTGTCCCTAGTTAGATCACTCACTATCTCATTGTTATTTCAAAGGAAGTCTTAATTTTGCCATATTTAATGAAATAATTATCAATCTAATAAACTTAGGAAGCATGCTTAAAGCATTACGTAAAGTCTAGCAGGGTCTATCTAATTTCATGAGAAAACACATCTAGGATCTTAAGTATTGTAAAAATGAAATTAGCACCTTATATTATTAGTTGTCTAGGATAAAAATAAATTAGCACATACGTATTATATTTTAGACAAAGACAATATGTTTAGTTTTACACGTGTGCGGTAATTACACGGTCTACCTACACCATTGGCGCAAGAAACTGTTTACTTCCATAAACTACAAACTCATAACGCGATCGCAAATATCTTTGTTCATATGAAAATAGCACTTATTTATATATCGCACTAAATATGAAATTAGCATGCTCAAATAAGTTGTGCCACGTAAAACCACATCCGAGCCACTTCAGCATCGGCAACCCCGGCTGGAAGTGCAGGAGTAGGAACGGGGTGGTTTTTAGTCAGTTAAGAGTCTGACTCCCACCCGCCTCAAGTTTGTTGCTCGTTCGCCTCCATAGGAATCTACACCTTGGAATGAGCAAATAGCTTCACCATAAAATTTTTTATGTTGACATTTAAAAGTGCCTTTCTGGTATAATTAAAATAAGTGATTTTGATTTTGACTTTGACTTTGAAAGATTTTCCCCCAATAAAAAAGCCACTTCAGCATCAATAAGTCTTTGGCAATACCTATATAAGATGCTGGACTATGTCTCTCCTCTATATAAGAGAGTTTATCATAATATCCACGCTTGGAAAAGGTAATTTGAAAATCGCGATATAAAAGGGTTAGGTTTATCAGCCGCTTCTGCCCGGTGTCTGTCAGTCAGCTCTCACGATAACTCTTATTAGTATGGGAGAACCATGCTTTGGTACGAATGGACCGGCTCGACTGGAGTGCTACCACGGCCTCACAGAAAACCGACGGGAAGCAACGCTTACGTTGTGTTTCGTCCTGTGAGTGAGGTTACCGGAGGCCCAATTACGATTGACGGTTCTGGTGTTGCAGATGTCCATTATTATAGTAACTGTTGTCCATCAGAGACGAGTTTGTTTTGTCACCTCATTGACCTCATAAAAAGGATTAAATAACATTTACCTGTCTCTTTAGTTTGGTGGTGAGTCCATACTCGTGGTTGGCCCAGAACATTTCCAATAGGTGATCATACGTCACTGTCTTAGGGTCATAGTCCAACTCGATGACCTCTGTGTGGTCGCCTCTGAAAATAAAATACAGATATTTTTAATTACGTAATATCACTACCTACATATTATAAAACAAAGTCGCTATCCGCCGTCTGTCTGTCCCTATGTATGCTTATATCTTTAAAACTATGCAACGGATTTTGATGCGGTTTTTTTATAGATCAAGTGATTCTTAAGGAAGGTTTATATATGTATAAAACATTCATATTGCACCCGTGCGAAGCCGGGGCGGGGCGCTAGTACTTAAAATATATCGTTAGGTGACTATTATTGGGAATAGTTCCTAATTTGAATTCCGACATTTTTGACCTTCATGTAATATAACAGACAAATTCTTAAAAAAAACTGTCTACAAATTAAAGTAGCTGGATACAATATAACCAGATATAGGTACTCTATCTCAGGATTTCAGACTAAACCAGATTGTTTAACTTATTTCAAAAGCGTGAATGTAAATTACTGAAATTATTTTGTTTTAAATCACTCATAATTCACGAAAACTTCATGCACGCGTGGGTTATATTTTTAAACCATCTCAATAGCATAGAGAGCAGCGTAATGTAAATAAAAACTAGTTCAGTGCGTGGACGCACGCGACGACGCGACGCCTTGGCCTTGCGCACGCGCCGGGGCCGCCAACCTTGGCGCGTTATCATCAAATTAAGCACAACTATTACCGGACATACATTTTAAATGTAGTTTCGTGATAATTTTTGTCATTTTTTTAAGTTCCTTTACAATTTGTTGTTGGTTTGTTTGTTATAAGTACCTATGTATAGGAACCTGTTAGGTAATAGATTTTACAAATACAATTCAGTTACGTATTTTGATCATTATGATTGAATGCTGAATATAACAAATTGTGTGGAAGTGTTAGCTGATTACGATCTTAAATTATGTTGTTTCATAAATAATAAATTTGTGAGTTTTTGGAAGTTGATTATAAAATTTGAAAACGATATTTCGCAGGCTAGACACTAGAAAAGTTTGCTAGAAAAATATTTTAAACTAGCTAAGTACTTCCGCGCGATTTCACTCGCTCTGCTCGACGTCTATTAATCGTAGCGTGATATTTTATAGCTTATAGCCTTCCTCGATAAATAGGCTATCCATCACAGAAATAATTTTTCAATTCGAATCAGTAGTTTCGGAGATTAGCGCGTTCAAACAAACAAACAAAAAAACAAACTCTTCAGCTTTATAATATTAGTATAGATATGTAAATTAACTTATTAGTCTGTCAGCTTAACGTTAATGTCTTCTCACATATTAGATAGATACTAATTAACCAAAAGAAACATGTTTTGATAAATCCGATAATTAATTTGAATTATCAGTCTGATAATGTGATTCAACTCTTACAAGTTACGTCATACAAAATGAGCCGCACACATTTTGCGGGATTTTTCTGCACCCTGTTCAGTTCCTTTATGAGTGGTATAAAAAATGTTCCTGTGTCAATATTATTGACATTCTAACCTATATGCCTAAACCTTTTTTTGAGGGGGAAACTCATCTAATGACTTTTCCCGCCCGGGTGAAGCGAGAGGGAGTGTCAGATTCTTACTGACTAAAACCACCCCGTTCCTACTCCTGCACTTCTGGCCGGAGTCCCGGTAACCCGTTAAGTCCTCCGAAATGCCTAGTGGAACTTTCTGGAATAAGAATTTTTATTTAGTTTATTGTTTTTTTTTTAATGTGTGGAAATCCTCATGGATACCCTTTGTCTAGACAATGAGCGTCAGACATCAGGTTATTTCGGACTCTTACCGATATGAGAATCACTGGGTACCTACTCGAATAAACGAACTCAGCTGCGTTGTCACAGTTACCTACATAACATTTGTGTATATTCCAGGTAAATATCTTTTTATATAAAGTTTTATTGCACAATATTTCCTCAGCCGGGAAAATAAACCGACTTGTCAGGCCACCTGCTTGTTCGCTTATATGCCAGTCATTATTAATAACCATTGCTTTGTTTGTAGGTATCAATAGTAGATAGGTACGGTATACGGCGGTCAAGGTCGGCACAAAATTTCGCAACTCATTCACGTATTGATAAAGCGATCAGGTTTCTAGACTATCTAGTGGAACCTAACATAGATAACGCGTAAGTAGATAAGAATGTACACAATTCCACTATGTCATTGATTTGATTATGTTTATTCAACTGTTAGACTTTTAACTTTCATATTGAAAGAGAGAAAGAAAAGTATTTATTTGATTATTGACATGTAACCAGCCCAAGATCTGTTTTTCTTGACTTTTCGATCCGGTTTCACTAATTGTGATCACGTCAAACAGCCTATATTTTTTTCTTTTCGGGGGGGGAAATCATCCAATGACTTCTCCCGCACGGGTGAGGCGAGAGGGAGTGTCAGACTCTTACATAGTAAGTAGGTACCTATAATACAAATGTATTAGGTGTTTAGTTCAACAATAACAGGCGTCCTTCACGAGTAAGTACAAGACAGTTATTTCGACCTTGTCTAGTAAAAGTATTGATCGCGCGCGTCCTTGAGACGGAAGGTCGGACAATGGTATTCGTACTATTTGTAGACATTGAGCCCAGTCTTAGCTATTCCCAACAAATTACAGGATACAGTCGTAAGTATACCAAAAATATTTGCTGATTATTGAGATATTTTTCATAAAGGCTTCATAAGACATACTAAAGCACTAAGCTCTTAAAACAACCCAACCCCAGTACCGTCTTTACCATAAGGACACTCAGGACCCGTGTCCAGGGCCCCCATCTTCAGCGGGCCCCGAAGGATTGACAATTTCTATGACGGACACACACCCGCTAGTATGTGTCCAACAATGTGCAACAATGTGTACTTCGGCACGGTGCAAGTCTTGTGTGATCCACCAATTGTTGTTCCGGGTCTGGGTGCCTTAAGTATGTGAACATGTATGTTTGTAAATGCACCCACGATATAGGAGAAAATCCTAGGGTAAGGCAACGTTTTAAAAAAAGAAATATTCCAAAAGGCCCCAGAATTATTGCGTGCTTGGGCCCCAGTGTAGTCTAAGACGGCCCTGCGCAACCCTTTTTATTTATCCTACTAAGTAGGTACCTCTTTTATTTCTACGTGTATAAAGTTATTAAACCAAGAACTAACATTTATCCCTTAGAATCCAGGGGATTAGCGTTCTATCATCAAGGCACTAGCTAGATCTACTAGATGATAGAACCTCGTCTTAACGGATCACGATGACACGTAATCACATGAACAATGAACTACATTACTTACCTACTATGCTACGTACATTTATCAAGATAATAGTGAAACTATCAATATCACACAAGTGTTTAGATAACACAGCTATTTTAATCGCGCTACGACATATTATTATCTTAAGTGAGAGTAATTCCGTAATAATAAATGAATAGCGCAAATCCTCTGTGTCAAGGTATGTATGTGCAAAGTACGTATATGGGACTGGGAATTTTCAGTGACCCCGCAAGGAAGTTGAACAAAGAAAGACCTTTGTTTAGCCGTGGTGGATGTATACCGGCTGATGATTACAAAGATCATAACAATCTTTTAGTGTCTTTACTGCGCTGATTAGGAACCAATGTATCTTCTAGATATATATTGTTTCCTAATCATCGCATATAGCGATTACGGGAAAAGAAAAAATAAGATTTTTTCTATATTTTTAACCGTAACCAAATATTAAGAGGTTCCCAAATTCTTATTTCATGTTATTGTTGTTTCTGAGATTAATACTATCATTAACCTATTTCTATTTCTAATTTTAGAGGAATTGCAGACATTAACCTTGAGTTTTTGATAAAATCACGATAAAATATTGCCAATAAATTACCGAGTAATTGTGCCGAACATTTTTTATCACACTTCCGTAGCTACACTTCAAAATAAAACACAAGGTTTTTAAGATATTGCGATGCGATTAATGGAGCACGTAAGAATTTGTAATAATTAGTATTGACTATAAAAAATATTTACTTAATTGAATGATAAGGGCATGGACGATAGTCCGTGGAGAGTAACGAAACTATTTAAAAAAGAAGAACAAAACGGACACTAAGGCTTCGTTTATAGAGAAAAATAGGTACAACGTGAACAAAGTGTTCCTATGCCGACAACTCGAATGCTTAAGCAGGTATCTAAACCCAAGCGTACAGCGCGTCGCGTTCCGCACGCGCCTCAAAGAGCCATCAGACCACCACGGATGGAGCCCAATTCGGCTGATGCCGATACGGACCCGCGGAGAAGGTAAAAGGTTACCGGGGCTTCAGCTCAAAGTGCAGAAATAGGAACGGGGTGGTTTTTAGTCAGTAAGAGCCTGACACAGTCATTTGATGATTTTCGCCCCTTAAAAAAAGGCAAGTACTTAGGAATCTAAATGCTCAATTCCAAGAAAGTTATCTAATAAGTAGGTAGTTTATAGAGATTCTTTCTTAGTCAATTTCTATAAAATTCACGTTCAAAATCCATTTGATATATAAATATCGTATTTTGATATATAATATAAAAAATAATGCCTCGTTGGCCTAGTGGTCGCAAGTGTGACTGCCAGGCAAGGGGCCTCGGGTTCGATGCCTAGGTCAGGTAAAATATAATCTGGATTTTGAAAAAAAATTCTCAGTAGTAGCACAGAGTCTGGAATTATGCCCGGTATATGGCAATAGGCTCACCCCTTATTACATGGGACTTTTAACATAAAAAGTTAAATGTGGGCGTTACATTGAACAGTGGCATTAACGGCCGTAATGTGCACTTCTGCCTACCCCTTCAGGGATAAAAGGCGTATTGTTGTGTTATAAAAAAAATTCAAGAAAATCGTTGGAGCCGTTTCGGCGATCATTATTACTATTACATACATATATGCCTATACAAGAACTGCTCGTTTAAAGGCATTAGATTGACACTTCAAAGATTACAATACTATCTCTATTCTAAGTATTAATTAAATGACGCTACAACTTCATTATCCCTTAATTCTATTCGCCATAAAATCAATTGCGTTGCAATGCATTTACAATACTTAGTACCTAATGGTACTTCACAATGGCTAATACATTAACTCTTTACCTACATGAAGGGACTTTTAGCTTGTCACTGATGCTTCATAGAATGACTGGAGCTGTTGTGAATGATGTCTCATTATTTATTAGTAGGTACCTAAATAATTTGGTGTCGCGGTGGCCCGGAGGTTTAAAACGCCACTTCGAAACCTACCAACGGCAAGTACCTACTAATGACTTTTTCCGAGTTATATGTACTTTTTAAAATTATTCAGACACCACTGACAAACGGTGAAGGAAAACATCGCGAGGAAACCTAGGATTATAATTTCTAATTATAAGTTTGAAATCACCAACCCGCATTGAGCAAGCGTGATGAATAATGCTCAAACCTTCTCCGTGTGAGAAGAGGCTTTGCTCAGCAGTGGGCATTTATAGGCTGTTGATGATGATGATGATGACCTAAGTAATTTTAAAGGAACAACTAAGAACTAAATTACTTGTAGCGTTCGGAAACAGTTTTGATTTTCGTTCAGGCAATAAAGGTCAGTACGAATTTGTTTTACTTTTAAAGTATAATCGTAACGAGTACGCGTTCGGCGCTCTGATTGGTTGATTCATTGGCGCCGGCCAATCAGTGCGCCGAATGCGGACTCGTTTCGATTACTTTAAACGTAAAGAAACTCGTATTAAGGCCTAAAAAACATACATTGCACAGCGGCGTAACTATTTTTTTTTTAAGGGGGAAAATCATGCGGCGTAACTACCTATAGGATGGCAAGTCAGTAATATAGTACGGGCCTCCAGCTAGAAGTTTGTTCAGAGGTTTTCATCTGAACGTCTGTGTTTTATTGGGTACGGGGCCCTATCTGATGAATTTGCCACGGGTCTCATAGGGTCAGTTCTCAGTACACCATAAGCACCACGCAGTACACAAGATCTTATAAGTAGGTATTTCGTTGATTCGTTTGTTTCATTATAAGAATTAGTTTTAGGTGTCAATTGGAATATTTGATAAAGATCACCTTAGGTTTAATCTGTATTGAAATCAATGCATAAGTTATCAATAATCAAAAAAACAAGACAATGACCGAGAATGAAGTACCTCACATTGAAAATGAAGGATAGATTATATGGTGGATAACAGAGAAATCTTATACCTACATTTATTGGTCAAACAATGAAATTAATCGGTCAAATTTGTCAACATCGCCTATCTACCGGTCACATCCTAGTCGATGTGGTGCAGTGTTATTATTAATATTATTTAACTAGCTGTACCCGCAACTTCGTCTGCGTTTTTCTAAAATAAAAGTAGCGTTAGTACCTACATCAGCTACCTGCCGATAAAACTCCCGTCAAAATCGGTCCAGCTATTTCGGACATTAGCCAGTACAGACAGACAGATAGAAAAAAAACTATAAAAAGCATTATTTTGGTATAATCGTATATATATTCATAAATCATAATGAACAATCATATACACTCCAATTTTATTTATCTGTGTGTATAGATATTCATCTATGAACTCCCATATTGACACAGGGAAGTGTATTGCCGACATGTAGTACCTTTTAGGTGTACTTTGCATAGACAAAGACCTCGAAATGTCATGTGCCCATTTATGTCTCCGCGATGATTTGAATGAGTAAGGTCAGTGATTGGAAACAATGAAGTCGTTACACTAAGGTAACTAGTTAGTTTTATAAACAAACAGTGGATGAAGGATATTTGTGGAAACTAGTCACTAATGTTATGACATAGACGATGCCACATAGGTACTGGTAGTAGACATACGAGAGCTGTCGGTATGTTTAACGCTGGCTAGAAAATAAAACTAATATAACAACGAAACTTTTTAGAACTTGTTGCCAAAACAAAGCGGTATCTAGATATCTCTATCGATTTATCAAGTATTCGATCTATGAAAGTAATCGATCGATTTTATCGATGATGGAATCGATATTGGTTTTTATCAGCACTGCAGCAGAGGTTAATGATTGTTTTGATTTTCAAAGAGGAACCGCTGCATTTGTTCGTGGATCGTATCAGTATATTTATTTCACATAGATATAACTATACTTAAGTCTCCTAGATCATAGGATGTGGATAAAACCGTTTTAGTACTACCTAGTATATCTGTGCATAAAACCATAAATAATTAAATACACGTCTTTTAAGCCCCGAGGAGGTAGCATCACATATACGAATGTAATGTACCATCCATTGTTTTGAGTCCCATGTAAGTAAGTAATAGAGGGATGCCATAACTCGGAACAATTTCAGATGTTTATATTAAACTTTCGTGAGACATTATACTAAATTAATTATAATGTTTTTCGGCTTACTTACGTAGGGCTACAAGCATGGCTTGAAACTAGTCGAATTCCTCGTCAGTAAACCGGAAAATATAATAATTATTTTCAGATGTCATGCATTTACATACAACTTTTAGTTATGTACTTACAGGCTCCTATAATTTGGGTTCTTAGTAGTGCCGCCTGAGTAGCCGACTCGAGTCCGGATTACTCCGAGTGTGGCTCCGAACAGGGAGTCGTTGGCCCAGAAGCAACCCATACCAAAGGTGGCTTTCTTCGTGGGGATGTCCACATCGTGAAGGAGAGCAGCCTGGGGATACAAGACAGGCACTTATGGTTAGAATAGATTATTCTATGTTTTGGCTTACCTCGGTATATGACTAAATATTAGAGTACACGCAACTATAGAGTAGAGAGTATAAGTCTTTGTACTTCATTACTGCCTCGTTGGCCGAGTGGTCGCAAGTGCGACTGCTGGGCAAGAGGTCTCGGGTTCGATTCCCGGGTCGGTCAAAGTATTACTGAGTTTTTAAAAATCTCAGTAGTAGCACGGAGTCTGGAAATGTGCCCGGTATATGGCAATAGGTTCACCCCCTATTACATGGGACTTATAACATAAATAGTGAAAAGTGGGTGTTACATTGTACAGTGGCATAATGTGCACCTCTGCCTAACCCCTTCGGGGATAAAAGGCGTGATGTTATGTTATGATGTTATGTTACTTCATTACAATTTTATCAGTCGTTTCGTGTAATGTAAGTAGTAATCAAGTCATCTAAATCCAAACTTGCATGGCAGGCATGCTTTCTTCATAAATATGTCGTAACATTTCGAGCGTTACAACTTGTGAACTTGGGTAATTTATACATGCCACTATCAGTAGTCAAAGGGTCATCAATTAACAAGGATGACCATTTAGAAACAATAGTAACTGCGTATAATTTTGTGTTATCTGTGGTCCCCTACAAGGAACAACGTAATTGACTATTGATTATGCGCCGTGGGTGAGAAAACACGAGATGATAAACTTCAATTAACTATGCATTTGTTGATATAAGATATAATTAGAGGGTTCTATAATTTCTTGAATGGAGATTTTGTTATCTACTACGAGTATTTGTAGTGCAGACGAAATATCGATGCGTAGTTTCCGATTGTGACTATAGCTAAGTTAGATTTGATTTAAGCATTCAAAAAGAGTAAGAGCAACAAGAAACGAGACTAATGCCCCAGAGGCCTAGACCTATATTTACAATTGACCCTCTCGGATGAGAGATGAGACCCAGTATCTATTTTTGTGTTAGTAAATTGTCTACATCCTTATAAGGTTCTAAATAGGGTCTATTGTAGGTCAAGTTCAATGACCAAAATATAAAAGCTGGAGATAAGTTTAATAAAAAAAAAACAATAGGTTACATTAAAAACAAACAAAAATGCAAGAATTGATTAGATTTTTTGGTGGATAGGTCAAGGACTAATTAGATTTTTTGATCTTTTGATCAAACGATGAAATTGTTTTTCGTATTGATATCAAGGAAAGTTAGTCAATAATCGGGAGAATCTTTTCGGGAATCGGGAGAAAAGACGTCATAGATTTTTTTTCTTATGTAGGGACCTACCGTTGGCTGCGAAGAAATTGTTAGATATATTCATCCTTGGCAGGCTATGCTACACTTTTAAAGACATTAATTGTTGTGTCCCTTTGAAACTTTGACTACTTTTTGGAGCCAGTTAGTCAGGTGAATTTGGACGAAAAATCGACATAAATAAATACTAGAATTTCTACTATTTACTAACGAGTCAGCTACTGAGCATAAGGACTTCTAGATAGTTTCAGTGGCGGGTAAAACTAGTTGAAGAGGGTGCATGCTTGCTGAATTAACACATAAATACCAAAAAAAGCATCAATTCTTCACTTTATCAATCAAAAAATACTTACCTACTTATTCTACAGGTGTTTGTGTAAAAACACTTCCACCAAAATAAATTCCAATAGACAATTAGGACCACGACCTGTCTATTTTTTACGTCCATTATAAAACAAGTAACTGGACTCCTTAGTTAGTTGATCGTTCCGTTACTTATATCATGCAGACAAGTTATCATCAATGCGTGATTGTCGGGTGCCCCTAATTTATGGCAAACCATGGGCCTAAAGTGTAAGATTTTCAACTTCTTCAAGCAATTACCTACTTGAAGAAGAAATTGCTTGAAGAATAATAATTATTATTATAACTTCTCAGGTCAAAGATATGGAAAGCAACGGTAAAGTAGATTACCTTTTTGAAAACAATTCCATTAATGTTATGAAAAAGTAAGTAGTGTCAACCACAGGGTGGCCGAAACTATAACAATTAACGAAACACTAATTGCAGGAACCAGCCTAATAATATTTTAATTATCTAATTTAAAAGAATAACTTAAATTGCAAAACTATGATAATGATGTTTAATAAATATCTTAGGTATCTACATACAATTTTCGCGTCACCCCAAATAAACAAACATGATGAAGTAATAGATAATTCATTAAGTAATTTAAAAAATAAATAAACCCAAAATAAAATACTCACGTTAACTGGTGGCTTCATGTTGAAGAAACTTCTAACAAATCTCAGCATGCACGAAGACAGGTACCCAGTGGGTTAGATGTGCAATTAGTCAAAAATTAAAATTTTGGAAGATAATTTTAGTTTGTGTTTGATTTCCGCGTGATTAAGATCGTGGCGAGGCGAAGAGTGCGGCCGCGACACGTCGGCGAGCTGTGGCGGTCCGGCGAACACTGCGGTAATAAACGGTCGGCGCGATGGCTTTACCTTGCCGTCACAATCTGCTACACGTTTTCCTACAACACGCAGTGTCGCGCTGTGTGCAACATTCGGCAGATAATTTTATATCCAAACAAAGAGGTTGTCGCTTGATTGTATCGATATTGATATAAGTATATAAATAAAATCTTTTTTGATATTTATCAAAGTTTTTGTTGCCAATTTATAGGGATTCTTTTGTTCCATGGTCTCTGCTATTTTCGCGACGACGCACAGATTGTGTAACCTTGCTGACGAGGCGACCGCGTGTCTGACACGAACTGCCGGAAAACCCACCGCTTGATGAATCAATAATACATGTAGGTATAGCTATCCAAACTTCTTAAATATTTCCCCTAAACTTTTATTTTTCAAAGTCTGGTCTCGGTTAGTTTGGACGTAGCGAAGGCCTTCGACCGGGTTTGGCATAAAGCGCTTTTTTAAACTTCATTCAAATATGTATGCTTTTTAAACTTGTTTATTAGCGTATGACATCTCTGATACTGCCTCGATGGCCAAGTGGTTGCAAGTACGACTGCCGGGCTCGGGATCGATTCCTGGGTCGAGCAAAGTATTACTGGGTTTCTTAAAAAAAATCTCAATAGTAGCACGGAGTGTGGAAATGTGCCCGGTATGTGGCAATAGGCTCACCCCCTATTACATGGGACTCATAACATAAATAGTGAAAAGTGGGTGTTACTTCTATGTGCATCTATGCCATTTCTGTGTGCTCTATGACATCTCTGAGAATGGCCACATAACGTTTACTTCTTAACAGAGTTACTTTCGCTTTTATAATATTAGTTTGGAAAACATAGTAACGTACCTATAGGTACCTACTTATGATTATAAATTTGTGTCCGTTTGTATTTTTATTAAAAAACGACGTGATTTTTTTTTAAATGGAGATTAAAAAAGGATTGAAAATAGTGTAGTATACATTTTGTTTTTTTTTTAACCTACCACTTCCCTAAAACAGGGAGTGGAACTATGTATGAAGCACGTGATTTTCAAGAAGACTAAAATTGTTATTATATTTGTAACCAGTAAAACAAAGTTTTTTTTCAAAGTCAAAGTCAAAATCATTTATTTCAATTAGGCCAGAATGGCACTTTTGAACGTCAATAAAAAGAAAATTAAAAGTGAAGCTATTGGCTTATTCCAAGGTGTAGATTCCTATGGAGAAGAACGAACAAGAAACTTTTATCTTTTATAACCCTGCTCTCTATACTTTAAGAGAGCATAAGCGAAACCGTGGACAGAAGCTAGTTTATGAATAAAATACATTCACTTGATTGAATTAGTATTTTTTCCTTAAATTTTATAATTCTGATGTAATGAAATACTATTACTAGTCCTTGAATACAGTTTTGAATACTTAAGTAATATAAGGAGCTTTTTGGTAGATTTTTCATTAGTGTAGATGAGAGTGAGGAAATAATAAAACATGCTGATTAATTTAAACAAACTCTTTATTAATCTTCCAGATAATTCAATTTACACTACTGTTTAGAGGGCATAGAATCGCATCATTTAAGAAGTAACCAGAAACATAAAGTAACAACAATATTCCTCGGAACAAACATAAAATCTTGCATTGTTATTGCATTATTGTAATTTACGTCACTTAAAATTTTAAGGCGATTAGGTCTTCATCTTGAATGTTTCGTAATTATTGATTTAATACTGCAAAAATACTTAGTTACAAAATAAATAGGCAAAAAACATCGACTTCGTAATCTTGAATAACAAAATAATCAAAAAAATCTCCTTCATAAATTATTATTATTAACACATGATGCACAATCATTAGCAAAGGAAACATTCAAGATTATAGACTATCGCCATTTTAAAAATATAACTTTGAACAGTAGTGTTTAACAGCTTTATAAGAATATTTAATACATAGATGTTTCAATAAAATTATCTGTAGAGAACCATACTACATAATACCAACAGTTATCGACTCTGTATAATACAATTACTTTCTTTATCACGTCCATTAAGATTGTAAAGGCAAATTACCCATAGGTCTGATTACAATTCACATTGTCTTTTAATGACTAAATCTTACCCATTGTAACAAAATTAAGTATATTAAGGTGAATGTTTCAGGGTCGCCCGCGAAATTTAAATTTTGGTAAGATTTTTGCGAGTCAGGTACAGCTCGATATCGGATAGTATGATAATTCGCGGTAGTGAAATGTATGTGTTTACACAATAATACTGTCATAATTATCAAAATTACTCTGTAACTACAAGTTTTAAAACGTCAAGATTTTACTAAAATGGTACATTGTAGAAATCCACTAAATTGCGAAGCTATATGAAAAACTTAGGAAAATTAAAATATCGCGGGCTACCCTAGAACATTCACCTTAAGTAATAAGACCACATGAAACACACAACATTCATAATTTTGTAAAAATGTAAGTACATAAATGAAGTAATCCTAACACTAGGTATCAATTTAATAAAAATTGGGGTCTTGATATGAAACTTATTACATAGTCGAAAAGAACTACAAATATTAGGAATTGACCAATCAGGGTTAATGTTTTTTGGAATATTAAAGACCATAGAAGGATTGGGAATCTTAATAATACAATAACTACTTGAATTTCAGTAATTTTAAAGATTTAATTGTTAACGATGTCTTTTAAGGCAAGATGGAAACGGCAAGATGCCTAATTTGCTAATAAACTTAGTAAAATCCTGCATTACTTCTAGGTCTTTCAAAAATAACAATTTCATTTGCATATTAAAATACTTCATTAATTGTATTCTACCTAGGCGGAAATATGGGTATAATTTTGTTCTGTGAAACTTATCATGAATTACAAATTGTATAAAAAACAACATTAGGTATGTAGTGTGATGGTGGTTGACTACGCTCCTAAGTAACATGAAAGTAACATTGATGACGTAACAGTTGTGACGTTACTCCTACATAATGTATAAATATCGTAACAGTGACTACACTAAATGTATATACACAGGTATGCGGGATTAGCTGCCACTTCGTACAAACAATATTATTATACAATTTAGTTCGACGATATAGAGTTCATATTTGCCTACAATAATAATTATGTACATAGGATCACGTGACAATAACAATAAGTATCAACAGAGGAGTCTGACTAAGGCAAGACACAACAGGCACTGTCCAATATTACTACTGCAAGACAATTATCACATAGGATAGTTTATACGTAGCTTTATAGACATTGTGTTACAATAGAATATAATCCAAGTGATTTAAAAATACCAAAGTCAATTCAACTTCTGTAGAAAGTGTATTTTTAAAAATATTTTGTAACACCTCTACGTTTTTTCCTTATATACAGTATAGAATAATGAAAAAATATCGTATCATATAACTGCAAAACAATAAATTTTCGAAGAATAATAACTAATTCAATCCTTTTGGTATCCTATTCACTGTTCTCGGCAAGACGAGCTGCCATCACAACCCATACATAGGTACTTAAGAAAAATATAATCAAATACAACTAATAAGAGCACAGATAATTTGATAAACGTAATATACTGTTACAAACATGATATATCATGTATTTGTTCTGTCAAAAATTTATCAAATACTAAATGGTATCACAAAATGCCGCCTGTAAAATGCTTTAAAAATAATACTGTTACAAAAAAAATAAAAATTGAAATGTATTGTATTTATTGTGCTTACTTATAAGGCCATTTAGTATTGCTTTGTTTGTTTTGTCTATGTTAATGTTTATATATAATATGATTATTTGATATATTCACGAAAGTTTACTCGTATTACATATAAAGTACACATATTTTAAGTACTTTTTAAGTACCGAAGATATAATCAATCTACCAAATAGCTAAACTAGTGACTAAGATATGGACGAATGAATTGCTACTGGATGGGTGCTAGAAATGACGTCTACACATGATAAACACGACTCCAAAAGCTTAATATACATTGTATAAATATAAAATTTAACAAGATGATATACAACGGAATGTCAATCTGCTACATTCACCTCTAACAAGTATACCACAGATAATGAACACTGGATTTTATAGAACATAATTCCACAAAGATTTTCTACAGGTTAGTTAAAAATACATCTAGTTCTAAGGTTTTTTTTTTATCTATAAGGGGTTACCACTTTACGTAAATGAAGGGTCAAACTAATCAACACATAGTGTTGCCACGAATAATATGTTTATTTTAAAATACAAGGGTAAGAATCATCGAGCTGAAAGCCTATGATAGTTTGGAAATGAAGGTTTTAAAATTATTCGTGGTAACAAAGTATTGGAATATATTTTCTAAAAGTAACTTGTGCTTGCAATTTAAAAAATATAAAATATTGGCACAAATTGAGTATTTAGCTCTAATAAAGAAGAAAAAGGCACTCGACTCTACATCCACAGATTACAAGTGAAACAGTAGCCAATATGTCGAATTACAATTTTATCTATGTATATTATAACATCGCCTTGATGTCCAACACTTCCTTCGTCTTAAGGTGCTCCTTCACCGGGAGCTTGTAATGTAACGTTACAGATCTGAGCATTACATCAGTGAAAGAGGAGATCCGAGCATTACAATGCGCACCTTGTAATGATACAATGTGTAATATCTTGATACAACTTGTAACATCAATGCGCTCCACTTGCCCCAGCCGCAACCCGCCCGCTTCGTCTGACATCTTATTATGATATGTTCAAAGTCGAATCAATATGTTACATTACATGCTCGTTGTCAAAATTACACGCAAATGCTCTTTAGTGAGGGAGGTATTATTGTAATTTTATGCTCAAAGTCTAATCTATAATGTTACATTAGGGAGCACCTTTAATATTTTTCTAGTCAGTATGATATTTTATATATGTGTAACAATTGACGCATTGATTTCATGGATTCAAACAAAGGGTTGTTAAAAAGCGACTAGCGACATCTAGTAATCACATTAGTCAAGATATTTTTGTGAAGATTATTAGGATTTGCAAAGTGTTGACTGTTGATACACATCTAGATCGACAGTAAAGTCTTAGTTTCGATACAAGATGGTCGGTATCTTATAGTAATTTTATTGTAGGTGTTAGGCGACATGTCATGAGTTAAACTGTCCGTGTGTCACTGTAATCTATGGATGGTAAAACAAACTACCAGCACGAATGCCGTGGCCCCCTCACTTTGTCAACAGACAGCTGTATTTTGAATTTAAACGAAACTTCAGTATGCATGCGTTACTACAAGATTATAACATTTATTAACTGTTCTTTCGCGAAAGTCTAAAACCTTTTTCAAAGTCCAAGTAGGTTGATTTGAATACAATATTTTTACATTGTTTGTTGATTTAAGAACATTATTTAATCTTTCTGATGCAGGTACTATAAGCGCCCTAAACGGTCCGTTTGGAGATGGCCAGCCATCTTTCTCAGTGGAAATGTTTGCATCTCTATTTGGTTATTCGATAAATAAATAAAATTAAATAATCGATCAACCAATACCTAACAGGATATATACATAGTTATTATAATCGATTGTAGTAGCACATGTTGCCGATAGTACTCTACTAATAAATATAAAACCTACATAACAAATCCAGTCTTTATTTGAAATTGTAACTCAAACAGTTCAATTAGTTGAAATACTAAACAATTAGAAATTCCATTACTTATAGTTTTATATTTTTAGTAGACAAGTCATTAGAAATTTAGAAGTTTTATTATATAATTTAATGATTTATTTATACTACAATTTTGAATTTAATTTGGAATTACTTATGGCATAATTTATCTAATTATTAAAATTGTGAAAGTACCGTACGTATTACAATGTATATCCATATTAAGTACTATGTTTATATCTGTTAAACCCTAGTGATATTATTTTATTGCCATAGAGTGGTCCGATGAAACTAAGGCAGTTATCGCAGCTAGGTTCAGTTAAGGATATACTCAACACTTCTGTTCTACAAATATTAAATAAGGTTTCACTTTCGTCTCCGCAAGCTATATATTATTTACTTAATATTATTAAAATAATTTATTAGTTTTGTTTTAAATAAATCGTATTTAGTAATTAAATTATACTATGTCATACATAGCAGCATTATAGACCAATACTAGAGGCACTTCTGAACAATCGATACGATCATTATTGCGATACATGGTTTGTTCTGTTCCAAATGCTTATTATGCATTCTATGTAACATTAAATAATAATTGGAAACATTCAAAGAATACTGTAACATACAAATTTACAATGAAATTAAATTATTTACAATAAATTAAATATTTCAACAATATAATTGAATAATGGAATGTTCAGGAAATATAAGACAAGAACTATAATACAATACTTAAATATATGACAATAACTGCAATATAGGATTCACTTCTAACACTACATAAAATATTAGCAACCGCGTAGTTTTCTTAATGCTAAAATACAATAATTGTTGAGCTCTTATATATCTATCACACTGTTTTCCAGCCATTGGCAAGCCCTTGCTTTGTGAGCAAACATGGCAATACTCCATCGGCATCATTCAATATATTACGTTATATTTTCTCTACCGGACTCGCCACTCGTCCATTGACTTCCGACCGACAACCTCAATATTTCAGTCGCGGCAAACAAACATAAATGTACTTTTCTTCTCCTATTTAATAATCTCTGGAGCCATAATCACAATTCTTAGGATTGAAGTCAACGTGAAAGTCAACCGGGCGAGTGGTCCAAAAGCCTTTGATAATTGGTTTTGGAATGACAATCAGACTTGTACGCTTACCGTCGAGGTCGGTGCAGTATTGTAATTACATGATGATACAGCAGCGCCGCGAGCGCGTGTCGCCGACGACGTCGCTGGTGTTGCCGGAGAAGCGCGGCACGCTGGCGGCGCTGGGCGACAGGCTGAGCGGGTTCAGCTGCACCGGCATGTCCGCCTTCGACACCTCCGACAGAGAGTTCAGGCTGTGGTTGTTCGTCGACGTCAGGCTGCTCTCCACCGGACTACCGTTTGTTCGAATCTGAGATCGCTGCTTTTTCAAATCTGCGAGAGTTCCTGGAACACCCAGCAGTCATTACTATCCCACCTCAAGAAAACATTACGTCTTTTGCTACGAAACATTCACTTTGATGATAAGCATGGCTATACATTGAAATTATCTCAAAAACAAAAAGTTTCTTAATGAACATTGCGGTGCGTTACTTTTAATTAAACTGTTAGTAAACATTAAATGCTTATCTTCATCATAGCAATTCTACAAATTACGTAAACCAAACGTGTTGTAAAAAATAAACCGTAACATTTAGAAAGATCTTGGAAAAGAAATAGTGCAATCAACAGAACAGATAGGTAACAGAACAATAAATAGGTGACAGTTTGAGAAAGTACGTGCACTGAACAAATTGACATAAAGTAATCGCAACGAGTCCCAGTAACGAGTAGCACAATAAGGAACACAAGGAACGAGCCACGCGCTAAGAACCAGCATGCAACTACAATGAGAGACTGCTTGCCTCATATGCATCCTCGAGAGTGAATCAATTCTGGAAACCGGCACACAGTCCGAACCTTCATTTACATTACAAACCGTACTGTGCAAACTGTTAGGTTAACTTTAGATATAAACTTGTTATATAAACTGTGCTATATATTGAGTATGTATATTAGATGTGCTTGTTACGGTCAATTTGAGTTCGTAAGGATGCATATAATTACCTGCGTTAATCATGACGGTGACATGAACATTGATTTTACCATTATTGTCTGTGGTGTAGGTCGCTGTGCCGCCTTCAGTGATCGCGATCTGGTTGGGGTTCACTACCAGTTCTTTCCTACCGTCTATCGCGTCCTCATTTTTGATAATGTCATTGTCCTGTCCCTCGGGCGCCTTTCTGACACCGTTGGGTAAGCTCGTCCTTTCGTAATGTTTGCTTTGTTCGTTGACGGCTTCGTGTTGCGCGGGCGCAGGCAGAGCGCCGGGCGCGTAGTGCGAGGCGGCGTTGACCCCGAACAGTGGGTTGGAGATCTTGTGGTGTCGCGAGGGCGCGAGGTCGGACAGGTCGCTGACGTCACTGGCGCGCTGCGAGCCGCAGCGCTGGTTGTACGAGTGTTTGGGCACGGCGTACTCGCCGGTGGAGTCGTAGCTCTGGTTGGAGGTGGTGGAACTGTTCGATAGCCGCTTATGTGACAACTCCAGCGGTTGTAGGTTCGCAGTGTTCTGGTCGTTTTCCACGCCATTTGATAGGCCCTGCAACATAATAAACGAAATCTGAACGGACATCCTTTGGCTTTCGAAACGGGTGGAAATTCTAATAGATGCAATCAGAAAATTTACGAAGGATAAGTAATATTTGTAATTAAAAGATCATTCACGTGCTTTGATTATCCGATTACATACAACGGCAGGTCGTTGTCCAGTGAGGTTTGTATGTATGTGTAGACAATCGACAGTAATATAACGATTCCAATAATGTCTAGATTTCAAGTTTTGAAAACCAGGATATCGTCGCATAAGATTAGAGTCAAGTGAGAGGAATATTCTTCTTCTTAGCCGCTTCACTCTTGCTTGACAGAACGGTCGTGGTTGTCCTGTAGGGAGTGGTAGAGGAGGAAAATTGAGAAGCTCTAATAGCTAGAGCGGCATTTTTCAGCCCTGTAGCAGTACGATCTCAGCAAAGTCGAGTCCACATTAAAGTAGCTTACACTTTCCACTTGTATAATTATAAAATCATGTTGTTGCCATCGAGTTGTGTATTATTCAATGACTAGAGTTTAATAAATACGTTGTTCAATTTCTGTAGTCACCTAATATGTATGACATCGATAATGTATATGTGATGAGAGACAAAAATCATGGAGACAAAACGTATAAAGGTGAAAATCAACGAAAAAGTAGTTGGCGGTGAAAAAGAAAAGGGAGTTAGGGTAAATAACCCTAACCCCTGACAAGGGAAAGTAGAAGAAGATATATTGTGCCGACTCCCAAGGGAAGTAACTCCCGGGGGAGTTACCTAAACCTTATCTCAATAAAGCTAAAAATAGATAAAGTAGAAATGATCTATTTATTAATTACAATTTAATTCGACTGCAAGATAAAAAGTAGCTGACAGAAACAAATTGGATGTCTCATCATTCTTATAAACTTATAGAAATTATTCTTTTTTTAAGTATAGTATGGATGATAATATTGATGATATAACTATGAGTCTAAAATTTTGTTTATAAATTCAATTACGACACAAAAAGACCAAAAAAGGGCGAAATATCATATTTTGAATAACGTTAATTTTTTGGAAAACTCGTGTATGGGTGCAAAGTTTTTGGACCTTCTATTTTAATATTCTCCAATTAAAAGTTTTGTTGATCGTCAACTTAAAAGTGGAAGTTAGTAATCCATTATTCCTTTTTTTTCATCCATTGAGGTAGATATGTTTCTAAGTTTATCAGCTATTGACTAAATACATTTCAAAAATAAATAGCCATATGCACGTACCCGATATCGGAGCCCTAGGACCTGCGGCTCCTTGCGCATGCGGCGCAAGTTGTCGTTAGTCAAAAACATTATATCCAAAGACATAATTATTGTAATCCGTAATCAGCACATAACACTTGTAGTATCACATAGCCACATAATAATATCCTTTGAAAGAACAATGGTCAACACTTTATGAAACACCATAAAGGAAGAATTGAAGCTCGAAGGAAGATTTTTGTACATCAAAATGCATCGTCGAAAGAATAAACTTATGAACAATGAGCGGTGCGTGTTAGCTCGCTGACCAGACGGACTGAGGCGCGTGCGCGGCCGCCAGTTGCCGCCAACCACCGCGTAGCGAGGGAAATCGCAGGAAAACTGAATCGCCCCGTGTCGTCAATCAATGCGCCCGGCGGAACGGGATGCCAGTGCGCAGTGTCACACACCACGCCGCATGATGAATGATGCACTAACTAGGGAAGTAGTGCCTGAGATGGATTGCCAATTTGCCACTGACTACAAACATCGGAACAGACTAAATACACGTATCATTATAACATAATGAATAATAAAAATATAGAATCAATTTATTTAATTGTCATTGTTATTGTAATAAGTTGTTAAACGCAATCGTTAGCTTGTTTGATATTGGAAAATTTTAATTGATTTGTGAATTAGTGACAATGATCGCATCGCATGCTTGCGTTATAGAAAGTTATGTACCAATTTTTCAGCCATTAATAATAATTATATATAAACAGATTCCACGAAGCCATTACAAAGAGTGCACAAGCGAGAAGTGAGTGCAAATCAATCGCTCTAGTAAGTAGCAAAGTGGGCAGGAACTAGTGTTATTAATGTTTAGCACGACAAGCCCACAGCGGCTTTGATTTCGCGATGATTGCTGTTTTGCATAGAGAAAAAGAATTAATTCGTCTTAGAAACACAATGGTAACCAACTGTATCATGTAAAAAACTAACTTCTACCAGAATTGCCCTGGTATAAAAAGTAGCTAGCTTGTGTTCTTCCATTTAGATCCTCAGCAGTTTTGAGCTATTTAAGTAACAAACATACAGACAAACTTACTCACAAACTTCCGCATTTATAACATCGCACGGATGCAATATGCATGTATTATACATATAAACACTATCTATTTAAAAAAAATTGGTTGCCTGTAAAGTCGGTATACGGGCGAAAGTTTTACGTGACAACGACTTTGAGTGGGAAAATAATTTTAATGTGAATATTCATTCGTATAGTAGGAAGAAGGATGAAATTTTTATGTCTATCTCTCTCGCTCTTAGGCGGGCTAAACATGCCCAAGTGGAAGGGACGCGTGCCTCTCACTCGCTCTCATTGTGAGCGCATAACGTGAGCGGAGCGTAACGCAGTTTCTTGAAGTGTCACCCGGCAAACCAATTTATAAGACGTTGTCACGTCAAAACCGCATCAAAATCCATTGCGTAGTTTTAAAGATCTAAGCATACATAGGGACAGACAGGTAGCGGATAGCGATTTTGTTTTATACTATGTAGTGAAGATTGTCACTAAACGCCTGCAGTTTGTAAAATGTGGTTAGATAAAATTCTTTACAATGACATTAAATCATCATTAGTGCAAGATTGTGTCTGTATAAATAACTGGATCGTACATTGTTGATGATATCAGTGAATTACTAGACTTCTACGTCACGGCCTTGGTCCAACTGTGGGTGATAAATTATTCTATTGCAGTAATTACCGTCGGACCAGAGATGAAAGCAGAGAAAGTACGACAAACGGCGAACGTAAAAACAACGGTCCAGTGTTCAAATCGTTCATCTAGCTCATACCGATAGGCGTGGTGAACATTATGACTATTTATTTAGCACTTCATTTTATGTTACGGATCTATTTGCGTTATTTTATCAGCGATAAAGTGCTTAACTTAGCGCTAATATCCATAATTTTGTTAATAAATGTTATTGTCCACTTTGTCTAATCTTCTAATAGTTGTATCTGATTAACTTTTCGAGGTTTTAGTTGCGTGCTTTGATTTTTAGTACCTACCCTAAGCATGTATGTAGTTTTGTATATTATTTTACTATACACATACAAATAGCATAAAATTATATATTACACACGTATTGTAAACCGTGCAACAAAAGCCGTCTGAACAGACAAAATGAAACAATCTCGTTTAGGAACACGTTCCAACCAAGAATGTTAATTGGTTGTTAACATTATATGTAATTTATCTGAAGGTACGTAAATGCAATGCCCTTGATATAACTGAAATGAAAACGAAAGTAAAAGTGCTATGTTAAACCAAAAGTAAGGCATATTTCTTGTGTTACTAGATTTTCATGCAGAACATTGCACATACTATGTGCACAGACTGCACAGATATAAACATTACCAATGTCAAATGCAACACGTATTTTAAAATGCAATCTGAAAAAACCTTCTAATGATAAATGCGGTAATTCGTCGACAAAATAAAGAAAATGATAGTCTAAATACAGGGTGCAAACGGTACGCTCCCAAACGCTGACAAAAAAATAAATTCCTTTGATAATTATAATATTCATGCAACATCAGCCGTAAGCAGTTGATTACAACTATTATTAAATTAAAAAAAAAGCTGTTAATTCCTTACTTTAATGATAATAAAACTTGTTTTTGACCATCACCTGTCGGCGTTTTTGGGAGCGTTTACACACTGTAGTTACAGGGTGTAAACGCTTTAAATATCATATTTAGTAAAGTTACTGATTATCATATTTAGTCAGTAAACTTATCGACATTCAGATCACCTATGACATAGTTATTGACAATGCCGATGCATTTCAGCGTAAACTTGCAAGGCAGCCAAGCAAAAAACTAGCCAATTCTAATCTTAATTTCATCGCTTTCTTCAATCACAAATAATCCTATGAAACCAACCGATTGATGTGCCAAAACCATAAAAACAGACACACACGCTCTCGTATTTTCTGCCATAATTGCAAACGATTTCCGATTACTTGTAAAGATAGCGTGCGATGATTGCCATTTTTTATACATAGGTCGGTAATATTCCTCGTTCATTCGTGCGATAAATTAATTAATCCATCTCTGACACAGCCATAAAGTCCGTCTACTATTTTGGATAACTGTTTCATACTGGTATCTACTACCATCTTAGCATTTTTGTTTTGTTCCGAGTCAAATATTTGTCCCGTCATATACTATAGTTTCTTCAGAGGTTTCTATTCCTTAACTCGTCGAGTACCGGTTTTATAGACACAATTAAAGAACAATAGGTCGCGGTCACCGGTGACCGCCTGGTGTTTGACAGATTAAGTATGTATTGTGTGGGGACACAATCAGTATCGTCTTTACCATAAGGGCACTGGGGGCCTGTGCCTAGGACCGCTATCCTCAGGAGGCCCCGAAGGGCCGACAATTTCTATAACAGACACACCCGCTACACGTTGCGCACAGAGTAAATCTTTGTATGGTCCATAAATCGTTGTTTCGGGTATCCCTATGGTATCCCTAACCTATGAGGTTTTTTGTTCGTTCTTCTCCATAGCAATCTACACCTTGGAATGAGCAAATAGCTTCACTTTAAATTTTTTTGTTTACGTTCAAAGGTGCCTTTCTGGTCTAATTTAGATAAATGATTTTGACTTTTTGGTCTGGGTGTGATGTGTATATTACTTGTATGCTTGTGCACCCTCAATACAGGAGAAAATCCTAGTTTGTTGCAACGTTAAACAAAAGAAACATTCCACTAGAGTCCCGAATTATTGTGTCCAAGGGCCCCAGCGTAGTGAAAGACGGCTTTGGACACAATATGAATAACATTTAAAGAAGAAATTACAACGTAAAGCAATAAAATATCTCTAACAATAATTGTTTAAACGCATTAATAGCTACAATGTAACGGTTAAACCGATCCTTCAGCAATATTAATGCGGTAATCAATTATGAAATTCAACGGGTATTGTTTAGGCCTAGTTTTAGTAAAGCAAAAAACGTTTTAAATATGTGATATAACAGGATTAGTGTTACCCAGTATGCTGTAATTACGGATACAGTCAGGTATAGGTAGGTTTATGTATGTACAGACACCGGCAGGTCAACCTATATCGTTCTATCAACATTTTATTACATTTTCAACTCTTCTAGTTTTGGTATAAAGCCGAAACTTCAATAACAATTTAGAGTAGGTCTGTACAATGAAGAAACGTCTTGATTAGATCCAGTACGGAGCTGGTTGCGCCACATACCTTCTGCTAATACGAACGTAAAAGCGTGTATTATTACTTCCCATATAATTGCCAACCAATTACGCACTTAGCTGTAGTGTACATTGTACGTTTAATGATAAAAATTTGCACTACATACACGTAAATAATAAATTATTTGTGAGTGATTTTTGACTTTTACGGGTTTTAAATCTTGATAGAATTTTATTATACATTTTAGAATGCTCCATTTTTTAATTTACCTACTTTACAAAACATGTGTCAGATAGTGTATGGCATGCATTCAGTTCTAGAATGGTGAGTGAGGTATCATATTTGCTCACTAATGACTTTTTATTTAGTGGAAATAAAATAAATAGTATTTGTTCAAATTATCAAAATTCCAGCTACTGTAACATTTATATTTATAGAGCTAGCTCTACATTACGATATTGACTATCTTGTCGACCCCAACCTAATTAGTTAAGGTCAAAAGGAAGATTTGCAAAACTATATAAAAGATTATGACAATTTGACCAGGATAAATCATGTCTTGCCTGCCGTTAAAAACATATTACATACATTGTAACTTGGATATTTAAATCTTGCAAGCATAAAGTCATTAACTACGTTACAGACTGGAATTTTAATTTTCAAACATGAGCTAAGTTAGTAAATAAATTAATTTGAGTATCTCAGGTGTAACTTTACGCAACGCGCAGATACAAAATTGCGATAACCTAAAAATCCATCCGCATATTAATATACGCAACTCGTTTATTATCATATCAACTACACTAGATGTTTTAATTTATTAATCGTTTTTCATAGTATCTGTAACGTTTTGACTGAACCCTGAAGCTGTATTTTAAGTCCCGCTTAAGTGCAGTTCTATGACTACAAACTCTTTGTAAAATGACACAGATGGCATGAAATTTAAGTACAATTTAAAATAGAGTAGCCTTTTAGTATTCGGGCGTAACCGACGGACATTTCTACTTTGATGTCTCAAAAGAACATCTATAATAGAGTAGATGACTAATTTTTATTTTAATGTCCGTCTGGTAGATTATTTAAAAACATTAGACAGGAATTTTTTTACGGAAACGAATAGTTTCGACGATATATTGATTTGAAATGTTGCGTGACGTCACTTCTATGTACATTTTATACGTAGAAATGACGTTTTAGCCCCCACTCCTAAACTTTGGTTTGTTATATCTAAGTATCATTTTATTATAGAACAAAATAAAAAAATACGTGTCTAATATTTTTTCATTAACTGACCGACTGTCATCATCCCTATTATACATACTCAGTTTGAAATTTTTAAAATAACTTAGAGATGTGATTATAACAATTTGCTATTGATATTTTTTATAGTAGATAAGCAATGTCTGACATTGCTTATCTACCTTCCTATCCCAAGTTAGATCAACGTTATCAGTCAAAATTGTTTGTTTTCGTTATTCAAATATTCTTTGCACGTATAAAGTATCGTTTATGCAATAACCGGCTTTTCGTAACAAGTATCCGAGTTGCTGCTGCAAAATAAGTGTTGCTTTATGCGTACACCTCTGAAATCTAATTAACTGATAATATTAATGTAGTACTGGAGTATGTATTGCAACATAGATAGGCTTAGTTTCAAAAAATCGAGTACATGTAATATAATTAACATAATACAGTAGTTAATGACCACAGGGCGTTGTATTCCAGTGGGCAATAATTGTATAAATGGTAACAATTACACAACAATACGCGAAACTCGACAAAATTAACAATGCGTTGTAAATGGCGTGTTGTGTCCCCACTCAGTTTCCCTTTCACAGTAAACCACCGCTATATTTTGGGTTCCGTGCGCTCATGTATAATTTTATGTTAATCGTTTCGTGTTATTAATTTCACTTGTTATTGTTATAACTAGGAAATATGCATGGTTATTAAAAGTTGAATTTTTTACAATGTATGTTACTAGTATTTTTGCAGAGAAAACATCGTTTAAAATTGTGAATAACAAAGCAAAATAGTGTATAATGGAATGAGTTTAGAAACTTCAGACCTTTACCTAAAATGTTAATAATTGTTACATAACACTTATAATTATGTCGCTCATTATCGTAAAGTGTACGGAACACGATGCGTGTAACAGACGTCTGAATTTCATTATGTACACGTATTGTTGGTTTTTCATATTTTTCCTTCGCGAAAGTCGAAAGCGGAATACTAATTTGGACGGCCAATGACGTTGTTGTCGTTATTAAAATAGCTGTGAGCACGAGATGTGCGCTCATTATGATAATATTAATGGCATTTCTTCAATGTTGCGTGTCACGTATCGTTACGGCTGCACCGATGCAGTTATTAGGCTTAAGAGGGTTGAATTGTTTGTTTTTGTTAACGTGTGTTACATCTAAAGTGTTTAGTGGTGTGTTGCATCGCGATGTTTTTGTCATGACGGTGTCGATGTCAACATATCTACAATGTTTACATAATCTGTTAAAAACGGGTCTATTTTGTGGGGGGAATACATGAAATGACTTCTCCTGCGTCTTAGATGAAAAACTACCTTGTTCCTTCTCTTTGGAGCCGAAACCCCGATAACCCGCTAGGTTGACCGCATTCCCGTTCGGGTAGGCCTGAAGCTAACTCTTTATTTACTTGTTGTTTGTGCTTGATCCCATTAATCTTTCATATACTTTAAGTCGTGGTGGCCCGGAGGTTTAAGACACTCGCTTTTCATGCATGAGAGTGCGGGATCGAAACCTACCAACGGCAAGTGCCTGTGTGACTTTTTCCGAGTTACATGTACTTTCTAAAGCTTTATAATTTGTAAAAAAGTTTGAAATCGCCAACCCGCATTGAGCAAGCGTGGTAATTACTAATGATTGCTCAAACCTTCTCCGTGTGGCCGGCCTTTGGTCAGGTGGCCACTTATAGCCTGTTGATAATGATGATACTTTAAAGTCTAGCTACGGTGGCAGCAAAGGTTATTATCTATTTGTGGTAAAAGCACGGCACTTAATGTCATCAAACTTAATAGTCTACTGTCTATGTCTTTGTTTCACGCTAATCGATATCTAATGTGAAATATCATACTCGCGCATCGAATAGCACAATCGCCTCTGCTACTTATAGCCATTGTAGTGTCACACTAGTGAACAATAGGATACGTTCCTAGTAGTCAAATTCTTGTTGTTCTTGTAATTCAAAAGTTAACAACGATAGTATCTATGAATTTTGTATGACACCGTGTGATGTTTCACATCACGTAAATTATAAAAAAATGAAAATAAAGTAAATCATTGATGTTATAAGAATTGATGTAACATGAGATTTTCAATAGCAAATATTGAAAAAAGTGGATCTCACCTTCAACGCCTACAATTTTACAAATGATGTATCAATACATATCCGTAATCGATAATGTTCTGACTAATGGCTTGAAGGTAAGCAATCAGCGTCGCGCATTGCATTCTTGGACCCATATTACACTATGACAATATACGTCAAGTGTGTTTCCACAACGATTAGCCGTGTGATGACACTAGGCGGCGAGTCACTCGTGCTCCCCGTCCCGTGACCCGTGGCCGGAGATCATAGTTACAGAGTCCTGACTGCAGCATTATCTGATAAATCGTATCCTTTTAAACTGAGATCTCCAGACCTCCTGCCAACCGTGACATGACCAGCACCTGTAGCCAAATGCCATTTAGCGCTTGTCTACATGTGGAATAGAAAACCAAATATGGAATTGGCGCAAATTGTGACACTTGTCAGTGTCATCTTCATACATTTAGTTTTCTACTCTTTCTGTAGACAAGCGCTAAAGTAAAGGCGTTTGGCTAAAGGTCAAACGTCGACCCATCAAATATAAAAAAAAAAACTATCGGAAACTCACCTATATTGAGGCCTAGTCTAGCTCAAGCTCTATGTTAATAATGATTATTTATAGGCATTCCTTATATAGACTGACCTGCAACTCATCATCGACGGCGGAGTCGAAGGTCTCCCTGAGTCGTGCCTCGCCCCGTACGTCCGCCTTGGCAGTGAGCTGCTTCTCACGTAGTGACGTGCGTCGCACCGACCGGACCCTGCTGAGGATACTGTGTTTTACCAAACTTGTCCACCATAAGGGATTGACTGTTCTATGTTATTGTGTAGAGGTTAAGCTATGAAGGATGCTTTGATTCAATTTATATTTTTTTACTGTCCGCGTCGTTAGTTGGTGATCTTAAGTGCGACTTGATTGGGAAAATTTCTCAGTAATATGGAGATATCTCAGTATCATTGAGTTCAAAATGCTAGCTACCTGGTATATGAGAGTAGGACTCATAACACTAACAAAAATTCCCCTTTGGATGTTAAATGGCATAACACCATCATTATTCAAAGATAGACCAATCAATATGAGTGTCGGTAGAGCATTTATTATGGTTAGTAGGCACTGTGTGAATGACTACTAAGAACGAGGTTCGTGTTATGATTTCGCTCGTAAATCTTTATATATATAATTGTTCTGTGAGTGTGTTTGTTACTGAACTTCTCTCAAACGACTGGACCGATTTTCATGAAATTTTTTGTGTATGTTCAAGGGAATCTGGGAATGGTTTAGATTCACAAATCAGCCCGGCAGATGGCGCTGCAGTCGATATTTAGGTTATATATCCTAAGCGGCTGAACTAATTTGAATGAATTTTTGTGTATACATTCAAGTAGATATGCAGGACAACGTCTGTTGGGTCCGCTAGTGTTCTATAATCTCCAAAATTGGGTGGTGTTAAACAATGGTGATAGTAGTACCGGCTAGTGCTGGCGCTGGACGAGGACCGGCGCGCTGTACGCAGTCGGTCGGCGGCCGCGTGACGACGCAACTCTTCCTGGTCGGCCGCCAGGCGCAATATACGCGCACGTAGCTCACCCTCCTCGCAGATATCTGGTAATAAAATAAATGTTAAATAACACAACAACACAGTTACTTAAAAGATAAGCAGTTTCAAGCTTTGGGCTTCTCAAAGCAGTAAGGTTCACAGATTTATGATTTTCTTTCAGGATTTCAGATTATGCCTCTTTTTTCACACGCTAATGTAGAACCAACCAAACGCAGCTATAGTAAAAAAAATAACCAAAATAGAGAACTCTGATAACTTGAAATGTATTGAGGTAACCACAAGCGAATTTCTTTTTTAAATAAGTTTAAATTAAAAGTATAAAGTAACCCACTAATATTGAAATGACTGCCTCGTTGACCGAGTGGTCGCAAGTGCGACTGCTGGGCAAGGGGTCTCGGGTTCGATTCCCGGGTCGGGCAAAGTATTACTGGGTTTTAAAAAATTCTCAGTAGTAGCACGGAGTCTGGAATTGTGTCCGGTATGTGGCAATAGGCTCACCCCCTATTACATGGGACTCATAACATAAATAGTGAAAAGTGGGTGTTACATTGTACAGTAGCATAATGTACACCTCTGTCTACCCCTTCAGGGATAAAGGCGTGATGTTATGTTTTATGTACTAATATTGAAAAAATATAAAAAGGTCCCAAGCATAGACTAATAAATAATAAAGTTACCTGCTGGCGTTTCATCGTGTTTATTTCTCACATTGAGATCAGCTCCATATTGTACTAATAGTTCTAAAACCTCCAACTGCAACAAAACAAAACAAACATATAATTTATCATAACATTATGAGTCAACAAACAGAGCGCCTACATCGAGTTTGTTTTACGTCAACGCAATGTAAACGTTACCGCGGTTTAGCCCTCTGATTGGTCGATTAACTTGGAGCTGGCCAATCACAGTGCCGAACGTCGTAAACGTGTCGGTTGCGTATACGTAGAACAAGCTCGCACTAGGCATTGATTATCTGTAACACTCAGAAATTGCTCGAGATAATGTTTAGGGAAAATACTTAGGTACTATGTAAATAGTAGCAAACCTTGGTTTGTTATTGAAAATAACTACGTATGTTGTATCTGCATTTATCTTTATTGTAGTCGGTTACTGTATTTTAACATTTTCTTCTTATAACTTGCTTTTCTGGTTTGAACACGTTCAAACCTTTGGTTTTTATCACGATAACAAACCAACAAAAATACTAATGTAAAAATATTCTTAAGACGCTAATAGCAACCGGTTATATCTTCTGTTCCGAAATGGGTTAAGCAAATGTCTTGTATGTTTTTTTTTTGTTGTATAATATTCATCATTTATTATTACATTTCTCGGCTTACTCACGTAATTATTTGACGAGGAACTCGACTAGTAGCAGCGTGACAGCCGCTTCACTGGACGCGGAATGCTGGTCATGAGTACGAGCCTCTAGCATGCTTTGAAACTAATCGAGTTCCTCGTCAAATAATTACGTGAGTAATTCGAAAAACATAATTATTAATTTAGTATGTCTCACTAAACTTATAATTAAATATTTGTCATGTGTAAACCTTTACATATAGAGGCAGAAAAATCTGGCTTAAATATAACTATGTATAGGACAATAGGTAGTATGTCAGAAGTTTACTAATCCAATAATCCATTTATTGGATTACATCGAGTAACAATAACCTTTGCTTGTCACTTCGTAATCTACAAGTAAGCATAAATAAATCTTTATACTTTTCGACTAATGAACGTGATACTACGCTACGGCCTTAACCCATCGAGCGTCCTTATGAGCACCCGGTGGAGCATAAGAAAAAATGCTCCATGCTGCTTTTTCTTTTATAAAGTCTATTATTAATGTTTTGTTTTTATTTTGACTGTATTTTTATTTCTATTGTAATGATCCTTGTATTCGTGTGCCAATGGCAAAATAAATGCATTTTCTTTCTTTCTTTCTCCAAATGTCACGTGTGCACCCGTTGGATCATAAGGAACGCGGACGCTCGACGGGTTAAAGGATACCGGCGTGAAACAATGCTTGCATTATAAGCCAGTCGTTCAGAGAATTTAGTACGAGTTTGTTTTACGGTAAACGTTAAAGCGTTTGGCGCTTTAATTGGTTGGTTCATAGGAGGAGGCCCATCAGGGCGCTGAACGCCGGTAAACGAGCGGACGGGTCATCTGATGGTAAGCAATCGGCGTCGCCCATGGATACCTAGAACACCAGAGGCGTTACAAGTGCGTTACCGGCCTTTTAGGGATTAGGAATTTGAGGTTTGTTGGCGATTCAGGGAATGGGGGAAACGCAAGCGTAGTTTCACGTCGGTTTTTTGTGAGGCCGTGGTATCACTCCGGTCGAGCCGGCCCATTCTTGCCGAAGCATGGCTCTTCCAAACAGCCCTCTGTTCGTTTGCCGTGCTATTCATAAAAAGAAACAGGTACTGCAAGAGGATTATCGGATATTCCGACGAATAAAAGTTTGTTTTCATATCATAACTTATTATGAAAAGCTTTACGTACATGTCCCCAGCAGGCGGCGGCGTGTACCGGTTGCCACATGTCGTGGTCCACGACGTCCGTGGACGCGCGGTGCTCCAGCAGGTACTCCACCACCTTGATGTACCCGTTCGCTGACGCTATGTGTAACTGAAACAATTAAAGACAATTATTAGTTTTATGTTTTACTTCTACAATTTAAAACAGTTTAATTTATAAAACAATAAATCTTTTTTTACAACATTAGAGAGCGGAAAAAGCTGTATATCATACAGTATATTCATCCACTTTAAGTCAGTATGTTCCGGGTCAGTATGTAATTGAAGCGAAAGGGTATGAAAGAACCGTAGCAATTGGCGTTCCTTAGTCTCTGCCTACCCCCAATAGAGATAGGTGTGAGATTACGTATGTATGTTCAGAGTCCCATTTAACAGAAGGTGGCCCTAATTTCATACGCTAGAAAACCGATTAAGTTACTTTTTACTCTCGTCCGGATTATGATTCGCTGAGCACGCTAAATACAAAAACAATGGAAAACACAATTACAAATGTCAACACTGTTACAAAAAGTGTTTGTGTCCAGATTTAGCAAAACCTTGAGATATAATTGTAGGGCGACATAAAAGGTCGTTGTAATTACTATTTAAACACACACGGCATGATATTTCACTTCTCACTTTAATACGTTAATGTTAAGAGCACGTCGGGTCGTTGGCTGGAGCCGTGTGTAATCAAAATGTCACATTCAACACCACAACCAAACAACACATGTGGTGATTGACCTTAGAATCCTACAAAAATATATTGACTCACTAAATATAGAATGAAAATGAATGATACTTACAAGTGTGGCACCCTGATTATCCCTTGGCTCGTCCAAATCCATCCCTGCCTTCACTAGTTCATCGACATCCCTCAACATTTTCATTTCGGTAGAAGCTCGTGTGTCGTCTATTAACCTTTGGGTAACACCTCTAGCTGCCATTTCGCTTTCTATCGCGTCTAGTGTCCGTTCTTCTTCGCATATGTCGTAGGGCATGTTCCCGTCGCCGTTGACTGCGAGTAGGTTGGCTCCCCGTTGTATGAGGATCCGTACGAGGTTGAGGTTCCCGCAGGTGGCGGCGGCGTGTAGCGGCGTCCACTTCTCGCTGTCCTCGGCGTTGACGTTGGCGCCGTGGTCGAGCAGTAGCCGCATCATGGCCTCGTTGTTGTCGATGCAGCACTGGTGCAGCGCCGTCAGACCATCCTCGTTCGTCGCGTCCGGCGTCACGCCTCGAGACAGTAAACGCCGCACTGGAATTTAAGAATATAACCTGTAGTAAGTATATCTTAGTGTAGCATAAAGGAAGAAGGAGTTATATTATGTCCTAAAAGGGCAGGTAGGAAACATTATGTTTTTATTACCTTCCATATTTCGTCAATTATGTTATTAGTACCCAGTTCCATCACAATGACGAATTAGTCTTGTCCAATACTCAACGAATATGAACTGAAACGGTTTATACATGACTGATATTTAAGATCTCATCAATGGTAGAGTCCGCGGTATGCAGTCATACTAACGATCAATACAATAAAGAGTAAGTAAAGTACATTATTTCAAAAACGTAAACAAGTTTCTTATTTTGTTAGAGACTTTGAAAAAGGTTTGTATTCTGCTTGCATAAGTTATGCACTAATAGCTTTATTGTGAAGGTAATTGTATACGTAGCATCAATAATTATGATGACATATAAACGTGACGTCGCATTTGCGATTCAAGAACTTGGAAGTACGCAATCTGTGAGAACTCGAAATTGTAATATGAGAATGAATACATAGTAATATAGGGAAACAAGTGAAATTTCAATATGAAAGGTATTAGAGACAATAAGTAAATGCGGCACAAGTCATTAGGCTTCCCTAATAATCTCATTATGATACACTGTGTGTAATCGACCGAGTAATAACGAACATAATGTCGCTTTTATTGACTTATTTATGAAACTACTCGACTGTCACCTGACCAATCAACAACAGCTGTTTATTATTATACAGCAAGTCAAGATATTATAGTTCTAGACATAAACTTGTTGTATTGTTTCTATTACAGAGTGACATATGGCTGCATCTCTGATGTAATTAATTAAAGTGTACACAAAAGGAATTAAGAAATAAAACATAATGAAGTCACTAGGTAGATACTGTTTTTCTCTTTTGTCTTTTAATAATGTTATAAAAGCAAGAAAATTATACAAATAAATAGCACAAGGACACGAAATCTATAGACTTGAAACCATTACTAAAATAGGTACTTTAATTTAATAACTTTAGCATAAGTCCTTAGCTGACCTTTAAAAAGTTCTCATTCAATGAATTATCAGAACGATGTCGTAATCAGCACAGGTGCAGACCTTGTGCGATTCAAAACATTGCATTACTCAGCTTGAACCCGGCAAGTTCCTTGCAATAAATTACTGTGGGTAACAACATAATTGCTTGTCACTTGCAAAGTGTTCAAAATGTTTAAACATTGTAAATTTAAGTGTGGGAGCTCTGTGATAAGAAGATTTATAGGACGGATGTACGTCAGTGGAAATGCCGCGGATGTTGCCTACTTTATTGTCTACGTTAGAAACGGAAAGAAAATATGTTAAAGGCAGGATAAAGTAGACGAATGATTGAGAGTTATAATAAACTTTTCTTTCGGTATAATTCATCGCTGTTTATTTATGAGATCAGGCGCCCATCCGTCTGACCCATTTTAATACTCAATTAGGTCATACGTCCCTTAATGAGCTGGCTACTCAAGTTTCAAATTGACCTACACTACACTAAGGGTGATAATCGAGTAATTTATTCCAAAGTTATAAAATCCAATGCTAAGACTGTTACAATACGCTACATTATGTAGAGTAGCTAAGATTTTGGTCTCGAGCCAAAATGTAGATGATTTCATCAAGATCAATACTCTAACGGGCGTCTTTAGACTTGATTGATGAAGACATTCGTAAATGTCAAAGGAATGCAGTATTTCAGATATTGTAATACTCGCAGTGGAGCTAAGTATGTCTGTAAATTTTTATTTAAACTAGAGAATTCAAGTTACATCACTGCAAGACTTGGCATAAGTACGTGGGAAAGAATAAAAAGGACGATTTGTATATACTTAGATAGGTAGCTATAGTTTACGAGATGTAATTGCTACCGATATACTGTTAAATACGAGTCGTTGTAGTATAAACATGATCATTGTAAACTAGTTGCTAATATTACCTTCGTCTATATCGTTTCTGGCGGCAGCTTCCAGCAACATCACGCTATCACTAAAGTATATACTCCGCTTGTTGCTCTTCTCCCGTTTCGCTCGTGATCGCAGCCATTCTTTCTCTCGTTGCTGCCATAGCTTTAGCTGCTGCATTCGTCGTCTGAAACAGAATAAAGGACGTTTAAAGAATATTTTGTAAAAGCAAGTTTTAGAACCGAATTCAAAGACCTTAATTGATAGCAAAGGGTCAGTAAAGTTATAATGCAGTGAAAGATACAAAACATTTGTTTAGCAACTTATGTTTTAATGGAATTCTTTTAAAACTAGGCATGCGGGTAGCGTTGTAGGTAACTAATTAACAATTCTCTAATCCCCTATAATCCGCAGATAGTGTCACCGCACACAGTACCTAAATGTTCAGTATGTTTACCTTTCGAAGTCCGCAGTAGTAAATACAAAATATCTCTTAGAATATATCCTTATAAAGTAAGATGTGTGTCTAATTTTAACATTTATTAGAGACACAAGTTATTATCACTCAATAAATATGAATTTGTAAAGTGGTTCATTGTCGTGTTTTGTTCATAAATACGTTGAACGATCGGCCTCCAATGCCTCCGTAGTGTCGGACGGCTCGCCCACTTGACGCAAAATTCAACAAGCGTATATGGATTTATTCTCGGTCAATTGTCATGTTTAGCAAAATAAATTGGTGTGAAATGAATACATGTGTCGTCTCTTAGCTACTACAACAGCAGTATATTAATTAACAAGCCGTCACATTGATAAATATATCGTAGAAGAACTATTAAAGGAATTCCTTGGTATTTTCCACGTGCTGGGTAAGGTTCCTTATTGAAGCAGTGTAAAAAAAACTTGATAGACGGTCTAACATAAAACATAGATTGTATGGACAGGAAATGTTAACTGTAAAGGATAAATACAAGGGTAAACGTATGTCGAACGTCGGTATGTACTGAATGGGTAATGAAGCTGTACAATGTCTTGTTTATTACGCATAGGAATCTTCTACATCGTATTTACTTCAATCGGAGTGACAGCAGTAATTCTTTTAGATATCTCACTTTTTGTTAGGTTGAGTGAATCTTGACACGGCCTGTATTTCAAAATGATAACGATGCGATGTACGAAACACCTCGCTACCCACACGAGCGCCCAGATACCGGGGCTTATTTTCGTAATCCATTTCATATGGGTACGTCACGGCTTACAGCTATTCCCACATGGGTTCAAACTTAACAGTAAACTGTCATGCAATCATAAAAAGTGAAAACAAGGTTTCACTTTATATTTATAATACGTTTCATAATATTGTTCAGAATTGGCAATGAAATACTTCCTCAGTTTTATTCCATTTACCATGGCAAGTAAGAACGTTAACGTTATCTTAGCCTGTTTCAGTTTATTGCCCGTTAAAATTGACTAACAATGGTCCTAGTACTTCGGACATCTACTGCAATTCTCCGCTGAATCACGGAGCTTTGCGATAAAAATAAGAACAAAGAAGAAAAACCATACATCACTGTCAAGTGTCAGTTTATGATACTCCATAAAAATAGCAATAAAATCTTTTTGAAAACAGTCTTCTTATATTTTTAAACTACCGTGCGTGTATAATCGGAAGTTTTGCCCGAGCACGTTTGTTTCTGATAGCTGTTATCACACGTGAGCTAACTTCGTTAATCTGTCTGACGTCGGAGGCAGGTAAAGGATTAGGTACCTGTACATATACATACACCTACAGCGAAGTACACAGAGCAGTGTACTTGTGATATATATCTCATGTTGACATAAATCCATACACGGCGTCTATCAAGTGTAACCTGTTAAAGATTGTGTATACATTTAACAATACCATGTACATATTGTATTGTATATTGTGTTATTGAACATAGATATTGTCAAATAGAATCGCTTTCAATATCTGTTAAAAGGGACAATAAGGAAATATTAAAATAGTGACAGCCTCGTAGGCCGAGTGGTCGCAAGTGCGACTGCCAGGCAAGGGGTCTCGGGTTCAATTCCCGGGTCGGGCAAAGTAATACTGGGTTTTTAAAAATTCTCAGTAGTAGCACGGAGTCTGGAATTGTGCCCGGTATATGGCAATAGGCTCACCCCCTATTACATGGGACTTAACATAAATAGTGAAATTGGGTGTTACATAGTACAGTGGCAAAATGTGCACCTCTGCCTACACCTTCGGGGATAAAAGGCGCAATATTGTTGTTATGTTAAAATAGTTCCTAAATATAAGTAAAAAGATATTGGTATTATTAATATTTTGTCTATTATTTTTGAATTTAAGACCACCAAGACGATGACTAAGTAGTCTAAGTACTCACAATGGAAAGTCAAGAAACTGGAGAGTTAATTTTAATGCGAACTTTCCAATATTTGTAGGCGTACTGTTCTTAAACTCAACTTAATTTCACTTCATGTCGAATCATTACGGTAATTACCTAAATGTTTCGGTTTAACTGCCAGTGTTTTATTAAATAACCAGCTTAATTGTTTTAAAACACGGCTTAATGCAAATACGTTTCCATCAAAATGAATGATATAAGTTGGTACATTTATCGTCGTCAGCAACTTTTCCACAAATAAGATTTGCGCAACGCGCGATAGAAACGATGGACCTATTTTGCGAAAAATAGCACTCAACTATAATAGTGTTTCAAGGCTTCGGGATTGGGTTAGACAGGCTACTTACTGTTAATGTAGGTACCTATGGAAAATAAAGGACTCTCTGTGAAGTTCAACTTAATATTGATTTCTAAGGGCATAGCTTTATTAGCTCGTGTGCGAAATTAAATTAAAAATCCGTGACCCTTTAAAAAAAATACTAGTCTTATTTTTATCAACATCAAGCTATCAATATCAAGGGCTCACGCTTTCTAATCACTCATCGATCCGTTTGTCTCATTATATCGTCTGATATTGTTCTTAAAACCATAATGTTCAAAAGTATGCGGTTATGCAAGCAAAAAGGGAAAGTCGGCATCCGGACGGATACAAAACAACACTCAGAATCATATCATTATCTGAAGTCTTACTCTCAAAATAATACAAGTCGGACAACGTGAATTCACCTAACTATCAGCTCCGTTCGATACATACATCAAACCTTTATCTAAAACTGGCATCTTCCACGATAAAAATATTAGATATTTCTATCAACACTTTACAATTTTATCCACAAGTAACATGGAATAATAATGTCAATGCTACTTATTTACCTAATCATGCTTATCAAGATTACAATTAGTCACGAATTCATTCAAATTACGATTTATCAAATAGCTTGCTTGGGTGTAATTTAAACTTTAACAGGAAAAAAGTATCTCGTTCTCCTTTCTTATGTCAACAGACGACCTCGTTGCTTTTGTGGAAGGTAAAACGTACTTGCACGCCTTTTATTCCACGAAAAGGTAAGCAGAGGTGAACACATTATTAATGCCTTCGCGCTAATAGATAGGTAAGTCTTTGTAATTGTGATAGGGAGCAAATCTATAGCCATATACTGAACACATTTCTAGACTGTGCTAGGTGCCTATTATGTAGGTACAAAGAATTTTCGTAAAACCGAAAAACCCAAATAGTATCTTTCTCGGTAGTCGCACTGGCGACGAGGGAGTCACTAGCCCGACAAAATATTATAGATTGATGTCTGATTATTAAGAGATTTGTGCACATTACCACGAAAAGTTATTGTACTATCCAAGACTAAACCTCTTTCGAGAAAGGAATAAAACATACCGTTATGTACTGTGTCTAAGATAACATAAAACTGTCTTTCAAAGCCCCACACTGAATGCTATGAACACAAGGAATGCTTTCCACTACATTAATCCTACTTTCATAGCAATTTTACAACAAGCACTTAGCAATAATTCTCAAATAAACATTGCTTTGTGGACAGTTAGACAGCCAACAATATCATCACATCACATACACACCCGTAAGTTCATAACAATGTTTAATCATGTTTTGATTATAATTAATCTGTCAAACACAGAGCGGTCACCGGTGACCGCGACCTATTGTTCTTTAATTGTGTCTATAAAACCGGTACTCGACGAGTTAAAATAAACCTAATGTTGGTATAGTACTTGCTATCAACAACAAAAAACACTTCAAGATGAAATTCTCATAAGAAAGCATGTCTACTCAAGACAAAATATATTTTTATTGTCTTTTTTTATACTATAAGGGTTCATGAACATTCTCTTCCGGCCAAACCTTTGGGTGATGTTTAGACAAAATGATGGCAAGAAGTGCCTTCTACAGAATTAATAAAGTGGTTAAACATCTAGCCAATATTAATAGCGCAAAACTATGGTAACTACAAAATATAATTTGTTATACTATTTCAAACTTGAATTGGCAGTTTTGTTATATTTAATTGCTTTTGTTATTAGGGATGGAAGTTTTATTTTTATTAGTTAGTATCATTGTGATACATTGTTTATGCAGGCCATAAATGGATTTGAAATTAGTATGTTTACTGGAACTACTACTTAATACGATATAATAAAGATATATCTTTATAACAGCAATAGAATTACTATGTATGATACTTAAAAAGGAAGGAATCTTAGTATTATCACGAGGATTTTCCTCAATATTGTATAGCAGCAAAAAACAAAAGAGCAAAAAGTAAACATTGCTCAACAAATCCTTATTTATGCAGATCCACTTGTTGATAATGTCAAAGATCAATGAAGTTACTATGAAGCAGAAGCCTTAATAGTTACGAATTAATTAAATTCTTTGCACACATTTACACAGAAGTTGATATTGCTGTAAAACATGTGCAAGACGAAATTGAATAAAGAAAATGGAATGGAATTTCTTCTTATCAAGGACTTACTGAAACTGGTTAGACAGGATTTTTTTTCTTAATAACTACGATTTGACTCAAATTTGTTAAAAATAAATATGATGAAAATTTACCTTCGTGCTAGGTGGAGCCTCTCCTGTGTGGTGAGGTGTTCCACCTGGGCCATCTCGGCCACCAAATCTGAGTGCTCCATTTTACACACTATCTGAAAATTTCCACACTTCTTTACACACTGTTAAACTTAACTTCGCTAACAAAAACTACGAAGTAATGAGTCAAAGTCAAAGTCAAAATCATTTAGAATGAGAAAAACAATATTATGGTTTTAATCTATTGTAATAATTAACACTTTCATTTTTTTAACCATTAGGTATAGATAGGTTTTATGTTTAGAATATCTTTATTTCTCATAAAGAATCACATTCATAATTACCATACATAGTGTTTGTATATTGAAAAATGTGGGGAAAGTGACAACAGAATCAAGTAACACGGGCAGACCACTAAACTATAACAAAAAAAAAAACAATGTGGGTAAACCAATAAACGAATCAATCACTATAATACATGAACTATTTTTACTAGATGTGGCATTGATAGCATAGTTTATACTAAATATAATTGTTTTATTTTATTATTGTAGATGTACACGGTATTCAATTTAAACTATTTAGGATTCGCCTTTCACGTTATTGGGAGTAAACACTAGTGGATATTTCAATTATATGTATTCATCATTTTGTAGTTATTAATTATGTTAATTTTAAGTAATTTTTTGAACTACATACAACTTTTTTCTAGTGTTTATGTATAGATAGTATTATGGTATAACTATATTAGAGTGTTACAAAGTACAAATATTCCTTAGGAAAATTCATTTTAGCTTTAAAGCGTAAATTCACTTGGATAGTGATATCCTAATATTGTACAATTTTACTTAAATGTTTAAAGAATGTTATATAAAAGTAAATAAATATTCAAGTAAAATACACAAAATGATTGAGACATTTAGTTATTGGTGAAGAAAACAAATTAATTAGAAACATACCTACCACAAAATGTATAATAACTTATCAAAGCCCATCATAGGTATCACGCAGTACTTACTTATTGATTACAAATTAAATCTGCATGACACAAAGAATTTATCCTGTGTTTATCATCTTTATCACCATGTTTTAATTGGCATTGAAACTTTTTGATTCTAAGTCCTTGTTGTGACTGTTTTGTTTGTAAATAAAACATTTATAGACCTCAGTCACTGTCACTTGATCAAATCTTCTACAAAATGTACAAGTGTATCTCAGAATTTGTAAATGTTTTCCGAATAAGAATAGCTATGTACCTAGCGTCAAACTTATTGATATCTGACTTAAGTCTGATAAGATAACTGCCCACTGCCCCTACAAGCATTTCAAACCAATATATTGAGAAATAGAAAATCTTCACCTAAATGCCCAGTCAACATTCAAACAGTTTTTGTTATATTATCGACTCAAATTAATTTTATAATCTGTCTTGCGACTAGATCAAATAATTCAGTTTTAAAAACAAACTGACAGTTTAGAAAGGCACTTGGTTTCTACAACCTAAATCAACTTTGCAGGTCAACATGATATCATAACAACTTTAGAGCGAGAAACTATACATTACACATATTTATTCTAAAATATTTTTCACGCTACTTACCGCTGTTCTAGTTTACTACAAAACGTAAGTATGTTTCATTCTCTTATTGATGTATTTGCCACACATGATAAACAGATTGAAGTAAAGGGAGTTATTAACACATATACATATCGATACTTGGAACTAATTGAAATCCATTTTATGAGAGAATTTTACTGTTACATTCTATTTTCCGTTAGTTTTCATGAAAATAAGAAACAAGGAGAAAAATCACAAGACGGACAGCGAACGAGCGGATACGTTGTTTTTTTAGTGACTTGAAAACCTTGACTCGGATACTTGGCTTTTAGCCTAGAATTAATTTGACAACGCCAAATGACAAAATTGTTCATAACGCATAAAATTAAAATAATGAAAATTGTTTCATATTTTCAATATAAAAAGAAATACTTTATTTTTACTATGTTACTGGATAATAATTTAAAACAAGTTTATTAAGTAAGCTAAATAAGCCATGTTCTGAAACTAAAAAAAATAAAGTAATTGACATAAGTTTTAAGCGGGAAATTTTAATACCAAAGTTGTTTGATTATCGTTTTTGTGTTCATTTTATTTACCTACTTATTTTTTGTGTTTTCCAGTGGGTTTCATCGTAATAGTATGTGACTTGATTGATCCTAAGAATAACAATCAAAGCCTGTCAGTTAAAATTAATGGCTAAGAAACAAGACAAATAATATCTAAGCAAGGAGTACCTAAATAAAGTCACCAAATAGGAATACCACTTTATTTTAGGGATATAAAAAGAAAAGTTTATGAATTATGAAACAGTTAAATGGTATTTGTAATGTTTAATATTCTTAACTTAGGTACACTATTCCAACATTTTGTCTGTGTAAAAAGCCTGTAACAAAACACTCATTCAGCATTATCAGAGTCAAGTGAAGTGATAGTTATTTCCACAGCCTTATCAGGTTTCCTACCTATGTCAAATTGGAGATTTTTAACTGTTGCTTTAATATTTTCTCGACAATGACGACCACGATATTTTTATCAATTGCTACCAATCTACTCATTTGACCTAAGGTTCAATATGTGTGGTGTTGTGTTGATAGCTTACCATCAGGTCAGATTATCTGCTTACTCATTGCCCCTTACCATATCCCATAAAAAGGTTCCTGGGTTCTTTAATTTAGATCAACAACTTAGTCAGTTCAGTCAGATGGTCAAAAAATGGACATCCTGTAATTGACCTGGTAAAATGAAACATAGGGTAACTCTCAAATGTGATTTTTATTTCAGTTTTTATAATCTATTGTACTGCACTGTACTCTCTGTACTACTAAGTGTAATACAGTTTTAACAATAATTTTAGTACAAAACAAAACCACAATATTATCAATCAATGAGCGGTGTAGATATACTACGCTAGGCACTATTAATTTATCAATTGACACACCATAATCCCATTTATACAAAGCTTGCTTATAGTAGAATACCTAGACATGTTTCATTTAACAATTTATTCAATAATTAAGTGGGTAGGTAGAAGTACAGACATTAGAATATCAAGCTAGTGCGTAAAAGATTTTCAACTTTATTACAAACCATATAAAGCTTACTCTTTGGGATTGGTAGGGTTCATTTTTGTCAAACTAGGTATCTTATAAACCCTATCGAATACTTAATCCACAATGAGGACCTTGAATACCTAAGTACTCCGTGAAACATTCATCGTCCAGAATTATTAATTTAATTTTGTCCTTCCTCCAAGCAAACTCTTAGGCAAGTTGAAAATGTATGACAAGTTGGTCAGATTTCGGTACTTTAATGTGCTAGTGTCTGTACCTTCTAGATAATTCATATTATGTAGTTAACAGTACTCACATATTCTTATTTATTTATCAGGAGTTGATGACTGAACAGGTTTATCTAAATAGGTACCAAATAGGTAATTATCAGCCAAGCTGGCCAAGTAACAGGCTCAATGTGCTAGAGGTTTTAGTTGCTTTGAGAACATCAAGGTGGTACCTATGTAAATCATACCACAATTCTATATATAGGGTACCTATAAGAATAAGAGATGTGAGTATCTGTATTTAAAATTGGCTAAACACAAATTAAATAACCAATATTATATACAGACAAAGAAACAAAAAAAAAACTATAATAAATTGAATTAAATAGGTAAGTAAGTTTAACGGGAACATTACAAAATAGGTGTTACAAACAAGAGTAACTTTACAATATTTTTGGTGTTACATAAAAATACTGAAAACCAAACACCAAATCATTTTTTTGGCTAGAACCAATATTGACGTATAATATAACAAATGTGAGTATTTCATTTTCATTCAGAACATAATATTACTGTAGCATAATAATTTAACTACCTAATACAATATTATAGCTTTAACATTTTTCTAAATTAACAGCAATCGATGGACGCACTAGTTGGTGGTATGAAATTCAAACAATAATGATTTAAAAAGTTATAATTCCAATCACTTAATTGGTAAGTTAATGTACATACAAAAATTATTAATAAGAAAACTAATTAATTAATACGTTTTCGTGCTTGATCACGTAACTGTTTGACGAGGAACTCGATTAGTTTCAAGCCATGCTGGAGGCTCATGAATATTAGCAGCATGCATGGCTTGAAACTAGTTGCGTGAGTAATCCGATAACATAATAATTAATTAAGTATGTCTTACGAAAGTCTTAATATAAAGAAAATTCATGTCATATGTAATTGCTATGGGCAGGAATAATATACCCAGCAAGCTCTTGGAATTACGAATTACCTATTTGATTGATTATATTATTCATTAGAAGAAATAGCACTGAAATAATACGAAGTAGGCACGTAATGAGTTATTTGTACGAGTAGGTATACTTTTTACAACGACAATTCATAATATTAAGTTAGGTAGTTTTGGGATAAATGTCTAAGTTAGGACAAAAGTTCTAGTGATCAATGAATTGCTCATAAAAATCTTCGAAGGACCACCCGACAATCTTTTTTGGTGAAATTCTCCAAATCATCTACAATCGATAGGTCAATGAACGCTACTCCAAGTTAATTTTACAGGGTTCAAATTAGAGAGGTCTGAAATTGAGTTAGTGGGCTATCTGCAATTGTCACTTGTCTTTTTTTAAAGGTTTAATTAAACTTTAAAAAATACGTTTCTATTATTTAGGGAGTAGTACCTACATAAGGTCGTTTGCCATTTAATTTATATTTAAATTTTGAATATCATCCCATTATCTTGTTATTTTTCAATAAAATTTTTAACAAACATTATTTTTTATTATTTACATTCGTTATTATGATACACTTTCTATATTACTACATCTATTATTGTTCTAAATTAGTCTATTCTTCATAAACAAAGTTATATAAGTAGGTAGGTAGGAACCTCCTAACTTCTAATAATCTAATAACAATTTCAACATTTTTGCGCAGATGGTTCTGTAGATACAATTATCTTTTATACAGTTTGAATAAAATGACGTCGTATTGCCAATGACATCATTAAATACAAAAAACGATATACGTATGCATAGATCCGTCTAAGTGAATCACCGAAATTATAAATAGATAAGTACACAGTTTAAAAAATCAAACATTTTCTGTTCTACCCTGTTCTTGTTTCCAACATGACATAGCCATAAACTCATTATTTATGGAGAGATCCATACAACATCTGAAAATAATATCTTCACTAATGATGTAAAAGTAGAACTTGTATCTAGAAGCTCCCTACTTTTTACCGACTTTATATTAAAATCTGATTGATTGACTTGATGGCATCGTCATGATTGTTATTTTATTTAAAAGCGTTATGTAACAAATCTATAATTTAACTATCTACCTTGGTATATGACCGGAACAAGCTTACACGGAATATTATTTCATTTAACTATCTAATATTTCCAGAAGACCTACAGCATTATTACGTTGGGATAGAAAAATAACTCGTGTATTGGTTATCTTTCACGGTAGCTTCTCTACATCTAATTCAAAATGGCCTCCAAAACGCATAAGTTATAATATCTATTACTTAACAAACACAATTATCTACATCTACAAATCACATTTCAATTAAACTTACTTTCATGACTCCCATAAACTACTGGTAGGTATTGTCATTGGCAACAAGTGCCATGAAATCATTAATATCGTTTCATAAATATAATTAGGTATTGTAATACGATTTACTTTACACACAGTGTTGGATGTAATTACATGATATTTTACAAAGAGCATACAAAAATACACTTCAAACAACTATAAAAATTGGTTTCGATCATTCATGTAGTTAAAGCAATATTATAATTCTTGATTATCAGCTACATTTCCGTTACTCGTACCTACATTAAAGAGCTTTAGAATTGATGCTACATTAATTAGATATAAACAAAAAAGGCAACACTGATATTAGATAGGAAAGTTTGTTTTTTTAAACGCTTACGCCTACCAGTCGTTGCATGATGCATTTCATCGCAACGTGTCGTATTTACACCTTACAATGTATTATGTATAATTACAGCTACCAAAATAACTCGAAAGCCTCAGACAAATCTGGCAAGCATCTTTACATTTACAAAGATTTGTAACCTAAACTATCCGCACGATATTTATCTTGCTTTATATGTGCGTATCATGATTATTGACAATGTTGACGCATCTTATTTAAGTGTCTTATCATTATAAGTAGGTGGTAGATGGTAGAACGGTAACAATAGTCAAAACCTCAATACTATGTTTATCTATCACATTGAACCAATTTGATGAAAGCCTTTAAAGTCTTTGGCAAAGTCATCTAGTAAGTGTATTTCGCGTAATGTTATAATAGATTTCAATAAATTTCGTTACAGGTGATTAATTAACACTTTTTTTAATTCTATATTCATTTTACTTATTTAATACACCACAGATTCACAGCACTTTTTAAGAAGTTTGTGTGTTTTTAGACATTTATAATATCACTTTCCGCTTTTGAACGTTACTCTAGCGTCCTGTACTTCAATAGTGGCAACCTATCAGGGTCACCACGGCGGGGCACTCAGGTGTTCTCGTCTGAGGAGTCGTCAGACGAAGAGCTGGTGTTCAGCGTGGATGCCATTGTTAGCTGCCGGATAAATGGCTCCCTCGGTAGACTCTGTTGTCCGAGAGGTAGCCGTCTCACACCCATTCGCTCACTTTCTGGCAGTGATTTGCTGCATTTCTCTTCTGTGATAGCATCACGAGATAATGACCTGAAATAAAAAGAAAAATCACAAATTAATCTTATTTTCAATTTCATATCTTCGACATTCTGAAAACAAAATATATCTAATTGTACACTGTTATTCATGGTCAACATTTTGTAAAGATTTGCGTTTCGTGCACAAAGTAGCAAACTTTCTCTTTTATTTTAAACCTTTTAAGATTATTTGCTGAAACATAATGCAAAAATAGTAAACACATCACACATACCCAGTTAACTCTAACATTGATCCTCTTCTACATTGTCCTCTGTGTGGTCCCTGCATGATGCTGGCTGGTCTGCTAGACGCACCGAGGGGATCTGAGTGCGCTACATCCTCCATCAATAATACCGACGGACCTCCCAGGCTCGTGCTCCTCTTGGACAACAAACTTGGCCCTTGTCTGGCTCCCGTATCTTTTGATGTCCCCTCTCCCTTATTCCAACTATCTCTATTTGCTTCTGAGTCTGATAGAACCACACTCTCCGCTGCACCTTGTGTAGAACTAGAGCTCTCTCTTCGGAAGAGACCTATGATAGATTTTGGATGTTTTGGCTTCTCTATGCCTCCTGATACCGGGAAGGTTATGAGAATGGATGTGTTTACAGCGGAAAGGATAAGGGAAAAAAAAATAAATGTGTCAGAAAAAGTTTATAAAATTTTCTAAATTCTAAGGTAGGTTATAGTGCAATGTTTGATGAACTTTATTCATTTATTTACCTAATTAATAATGTTTTAAGAAAGCAATATTTGGTGTAATTGTTTATTAATTTGGTATTATCATATAAAATAATTTATTGAGTAAATTGGTAATTTAATTGAGACTTCTAATTGTTAAATGGGAGGGCTCAAACTGCGATGGATATTTAGTGCTAATAAAACTATTTCGGTATAAGCAAACATGCACGGTGTTATGCAAATCTTTGATATCTGTGGTTAAATCTAAAAGTTCCCAAAAACTAAATTATGAATATGTATTTCGCGATTTATGTAAATTCAAAGGCGGGTCTGTGCATTTTATGTGAAAACTAATCTTATGAAAATGAAAGGCATATTAGGCATATTATTATAATAAGTACTAAGAGCATAAAATTGGCAGTTTTATATAACTTACTTCAATACTTTCGATCAACCTATCGTATTGGTGATGAGAACCACAATTATTATGGTTCCATATCAACACTAAACAGCTAAAGTTAATTCTTGTTAACACTATTATTGCAATTTATTATTATTAGTGACGTTCAGTGTACTTTGATGAAATATTACTGGAACTTGCAGAGTGGTTGAGTCCACGCGCTACATAATACGTAGACGATATTATTGCCGCTACGTGCTACGCCGCTACGGAACGGACTACGAAAATATGCCCTACATTTTAGAACTTTTACAAAGCTTTCTATACTTTGGCCTGCATGAAGTTAACTTAATAATTATTATACTTTTGGCAACTCAGTTTTATTTTCAAATACATTATAAACTCACCTAAGAACGTAGCCGAAGGGGAGCTATACGCTAAGTACTCTTTGTTCGAGGCCCATGCAGGGAACTCTGATTGTTTTAGGGCCCCGCAGCCGGACCCCTCCATTTCTCTCGTTTCCATGGCAGCATGGTCTCCGTTGCCGTTGGGGTGGCTACGCGAGCGTGCTCAGCTACTATCATGTAGGTGTCTGACATTATAAAGTATAAATTATTTTATCTCCGGGTAATTTCCTAGCTCGATTATTTGTTTAAATAGTAAGATGGAGTTATATATCACAGTTTAAATCTTACCATTATCATCGGACAGTCTTCTTTCGTCCTCTTCTAAAATATCCTCGTTAGGAACTAAAAGTATAAAATAAAAATGCTTTAAACATATTTCAGTTGGTAAAAATGTATTGTGGCATCGGCATTTCATGTGTAGGTAAAATGAAATAATTTGTATTAATTATTATTAAGGTAGGTACACTAATATATTACAAAAATATTTGACAAACGTACAAGCACTCTCATAAATAGATACATATCAATTCGTACATAATATAATATTACATTCTTATTGCTACATATACCTAATTATTTCTATGCAACATTGAGTTTTATGCCTGAAATACCATCTTACTTGTATTAATAGGATACAGATAGACAGATACATATAATAATCATGCAATAGTCACTAAATACATAGATACACTCATTACATAACTAGTGCAAAGTTTGACTACGATAGCAACCAACATAATAATAAAACATAATAACAGGATATCGTGGCACCCAGTCCCATACAAAATGCATAAACATTTGATATTATTTTATTGGTTACTATGTTATTATAGCGTTAGTACGAAAAAAAGGAATTAATAATAGTATGTGTTTATGGCATGCAATAGTAACATTGAATCGGATGACCAATAACTTTGCGAAGCGTCTGATGAAAAAAATATTTTCTTAGTTAAGTAACTAGGAATAATATAAGCAAATTATGTTTAACTTTAAACCAAACAAAAATCATAAGTGGCTGAAAAAGGTTACTAAAAATTTGAATACGAAATGATTACTAATAAACGTTAGTGCCCAGTGCTACCCAATGTCCTACGTAATTGACTCTAAATGTCTCTACAAAGTCGTAACAGCCTTCGCCTACCTTGAGCGTGTATTTTACTTAATCATGATTGCAGTAATCGTAGCACAGACACATCAAAGCATAATCTAAATCAAAATCTTGATCATCAGACGCAAGTATGCACGCAGTTATCTAGTGACAATTATTAAAACAGTTCAGTTTTGAAGTAAACACATACCAAAGTTATACGTGGATCTGTCCCTTCTCCACGGTAAGGATTTCTCAACAGCTGTCGGGAGGATCTCTTCGGGTGTTTTAGCGTACTGCTTAACAATCCTCGCTTTCAAGGGATTGAATCCGGGCAGGTTAGCCAGTTGATTTAAAAGTGAACTACTATTTTCTTTATGCGAGGACGTCGGACTGACTTCTTTGTATCCAGCTGATAATATTATCATCGCCAGTTGTCGAGAGTTTTGGTTAGTTTGCGGTGCCACATGAAGATTGCCAGAAGGGAAGAAAACGGCGATCAAACACAAACGATATTAAACAAGCAGAGATGAACAGATAGGTTAGGTTCGTAGCGATTAGAAGATTAGTAGGTTTACCTATACGATTATGAAAATGGTATTCGGGGCTCAGGACAGAAGTAGAAAAAATAAACTTTGCTTTAACCAACTACATTAGCAAACCGTAGCTAATTGTAACATAGGTACTATTGGCGTTGAGCACAAACAAAAACATTTTTATTAAAATTTTCTCAATATAATTTAAAAATCATTCTTTCATATGAAAGAAAAACCTGTTTTAAACTTTACTTTGCCTTATAATATTAACACTAAATGATGTTTTGTGCGTCCCGTAATTTTCAGATGATCATTGCGTGATAATTAAAATATTTAATAGAGGTTTGCGAATTAGTTGGTTGTTAAAAGTTAAATCTTCACTTGAAATAGGCAACAGAAACAAAACAACTCAATGAAAGTAACTTTGACAAGAGATAATTCAGAAAATATAAATAAGTACATACAGAGTAATTATTAAGAACATGCCACCACAATTAATACATTTCAGCACATTCTCACAGTACGTAGCCATGTCAGAAAATTAAGGAATGCTTTTGGACCCAGCAAATAATATTCGTATACCAATTCAGTAAACACCAGTTCACTTAATATAAGTATTCCATTTTGGTTAATGAAGAAAAGGTAGTGCGGAAAATAAAAACAACGTTAGTCGACAACATCTATAGGAGTTGTTTGGATTTGAATACATAGGTTTCTTGGAATACATTTACTGTTCGTACTGGATTGGATTCACCACCTAGATACCCGTTTTTGTCAAATCGATCTTTGATTATACAAACTGCTTGATAATTCAATTAGATCAATATTGAGAGATTTAAAATGTTTATATTAAAGTTTTGCATCGTAAATTAAACTGTTTTATAGTTGAGTGAGTGTTCTTGAATCCATCTAATTCCTTGCTGTACTGAGTGCTTACATAATGCAATTACCTATACACATACCTATATTTTACGTCTAGCTAATACTACACTTACTTCATGTTGTTGCTCTATCTACACAGTGCTTCTGATCCAGTAGATAGTACAATTAAGGTTAGCATTAGCATTGTTACCATTCAAATCCAAACTGCGGTGTTTTACACAGGGTGTGTCATGCAAAATACCTACGCGGGGATTTGGCAGTGAATGTAATACCGCCGTCGTCACCTTCGCGACGTTGTCCCACCTCGCGCTCGTCTCCCTCCTCTTGAAGTACCTCGTCTATATAGTCTGTAAACAGCGCCCAAATCATTGGCATATTTCTAACAACAACATTTGAAAAACAAGCCAACAAAAAATATTTATGAGATCTTTTTAAACATTGCTGTTATTAAATTCGATAGCTTCTATTTTTAAATGTAAAGTTTAAGTTCTCTTGCAATTAACAAATGTATGAAAATAATCACATTGTACAGACAACACAAAACAAAAAAATAAACGTGTGCTATGTCCTAATGCACTAGACTTTTTACAGAATTGCGTTTTATGTCTCTTTAACATTAACTTCCATTAAACTAGTGTAAGACAAAGCGTTTGTGCTTGCAAAGTAAATGTAACAATGATTGATACATATATGTATGTATGTATTTGGAAATAAACAAAAAAATTAAAATAATACTTGAACCCACACGTGCATGCGATCGACACTCGTGATAATAATAAAGAATAAATAAGTACCTAATCTATAATACTTTATTTTACCGTGCGTGAACTGTTTAGCCGAACCGTTTTGCTGGAATTCAGGGAAAGTCACATGATTTTTTCCATCCTGAAACAGATAATGGAAAATTATTAGAATCTTGTTTCACGTTTTTGCTATCTTTTTTGGAGTATTTGGTTTCCCAAATGTCATTTCTAAACAGTGTTTTTTATTGACCCCTTACCTGCTTTCCACGTTTACTACGTTTGTGATGATGTTTCCTATCACCAACCCGTCGCCGTATATTCATATGGGTCTTGTAATTGACTTGCGTGCCGAGGTCGCGATCGTTTACCGCATGACGACTGTAGCTCAGGCGACGATGCTGAAGAAAAAAAACATTATCCATTTGGTAAAACATTTTTGTCTTCAACTTATGTTTTCTACGAATTTTCTTTCAAAACTTTCATAACCCGAAAATAGTAGGTACTTACTCAAAGCAATTCGTAACTAACATTTAATACCCACTGGTGTCATTGTACTTAAATACAACGGACACCGAACTATTCTTAATATGGCTTCGTTTTATTATTAAGTCTATTGTAATCCTTTCCTACTTACTTACCCACGTATCTACGTAAATTACCAGGAATGAACTACAAAGTTTTTGCCCTTGATTCTTTTCAAAGTTACATCACGACAATAAAAAAAGTAGATAAATATAAGTGCTTCTACATTTTACGTATAAAATCTTGACTGGTGATACCTTTATATAGGTATCCTGTAGGTACACAACCTGCAAACTTCAGCAAGTGACTATATAATTTTCTAAACAAGGCTGTGCCATTTACACTGTGACCCAGAAACATCTCGTGGACTTTGATAAATACCACATAACATACATATAATAAAACTATGACATTTTCTCCGTATTTCAGGTCCCGACCGACCACCACCCACGACCCAAGTAATAAAATGATGTAATAATAGTCTGTCATGTAATAAACATACGCGTCTAAATGGCTTGCAAAGTTCTTCGGCAAGAAGGTGATGTATCTTGGCGTCAGTCAGGTCTTTTTTCGACGGATTGTATTCCAGTTCCTGCATATCAATGTTCCACGTTGACGAATCCAATTGACTGAAGCTCGGACTGAAAAGAGAGAAATCGTATTAAATAGTGTATCAAATAAATGGGTAGGTAATCTATAAAGATATAACACAATTGATTACCTTCCATTAAAGTTGGCATTTGTATAGTTTTTGAATATAGCTGACATTGATTCGGCTCCAGATATATTTCCTATGGTAGATGCATTTCTCTGCATGTATTCTATGGCATCTTTCATTGCCAACTTTGAGTAAGTTTCTAAAATCTTAGGTTCTGCACCCTGTACGGCAACAAGATAAGTCGTAAATTACATCAAGTATGGTTAAAGGTGGAAAGGGGTGTCATTTTCCTACTGTTTAATTGACTCGGTTACACGAAATCATAAAAAATAAACCACTGATGTTCGTACGTACCTGATAATTTCTAAGTAAGAACGGCCTTATAAAACGATTATCAAATCTTTTGAACTTGTCCCTCATATGGTGGTTGCCATGTTTTCCAAGAATGTCTTCAATACCAGCCATTAGATGGTCCATGAACTGAAAATTTAATTTCCATTAGCACTATACACACGGACTACCTAAATATTTATTGTTTTGAGTGGTGTTACGTCATAGAAAGATGCTAATAAAAGAATTCTTACCCGTTCATGAATTCGTTCGTTCATTGTAGGCTTTCTCTTCTCTGCAGTTTTAACATTAAGTATTTTAACTAGAGGCTTAATGGTGATGCCTTGTATGAACACAGTGAAATATATCACTGCTATAGTTGTAGTCACAAACATTGGTTGTAGTTCTACAACCTCAGGATCTATTAGTAGAACTAGAGCGAAAGCTACTGCACCTCGAAGACCTGAAAACGTGAAAGGGAATGTAAGGGACATTATTCCCTATAGTACCTTCTTCGTTATAAATTAACCTTATATTGATTTTTTCAAGCGTGAAAGGTATTTAAGTTTCCTCTCCTTTGAAACGTCTTAATTCTCTCATTATAATATTTTTTAATAAATATTCTATTGCGCAAATTTTCATCTATGTACCAGAATCATCGTTCAATCAGAAAAATCAATATTTGTAAATTATTCTAAGCAAGTTCACTATCAAAATATTCGACAAGCAAGCAAAGCTGGAGATTCTTGCCCTTTAAAAAGCGTGGGAGCTAAGAGTTCATTATTCCTAAGGGTGACTAGCGGCTAGACTGAATAGATAGATACATCTACATAAACCACCTCAAACCTCAGCTAGCTTTACTTGGCTTGCGAAGTCAGCCCTACTCGACTCTACAAATACCAGGATTATAATTTTAGTCATTAAAGTCAGTATTTTTTTATTGAAACTCACCTCCGTAAGACATAACAAACTTTTCCACTCTATTCAATTTATGCAAACGGAACTTGTTAGCTATGGCACTAAATATGTACACACCTGAAAAATAAACATCATTAGTAAAAATAACAACATAATAAATACCTATACAAAAACACTCAAGGATCCAAAAAAATAAACGAGGCAAATCTTATAATCACTTCGTAGCAAGTGAAGGTTTGGGGGTGACACGTGCAGATGAAGCCCTAAAGTTTGACTGGCATTTTCCGGTCACAAGCTCACACGTGACCCACATTGTTCTGTTTCTTATTGTTTCTGTTTATGCCTACATTTTCTCTTTCTATGTTTTTTAAGTTCATTGTCGTAAATGAACTTGTATTCATAAAAGTAGATGTTGACAAACAAAATGTGGTTTAAATATAACTTACCTATTATTCGAAATATTGAGCAGAATACGATGGTTAATAAAACAAACCACGTGTTCCAATCGTGGTTATTATTTACAGTAGCTACACCTAGGAACATGAAAATGATTGTTTCGGAAGACGAAGACAGCATTTTCATAGTGTATTTTATAGTGGTATGCGATTTGTGAGATATGTTCGCTTCGACATAGTTCTTCATTGTTATACCACAAAATGTTATGCTGAAAACATAAGATGATTTACATAAGTTTGCTAATGCTGAATTGTTCATGGACTTAAGAAATAGCATTTCATATTATTTTCGCTTACGCAAGTATTCCGCTCATGTGGAACATCTCAGCATTTAGATACGCCAAGTAAGCCATGACAAATATAAAGATTGGCTCGATTACTCTGACTTCGTGTGTGAAACGAGTGACGAGACCTGTGGCGAAGCCCCAAACGACTCCAATGCATGTGCCGCCAACAGCCACAACAAGGAATGATGCGAGGCCAGCTAGAAAGTCTGTGTATTCAAGACGCGATGGTCCCATTTCTCTGGTAGACATAAATATTTTAATTTTAAAACAAAGTTAAATGTTGTGGGCATTGTAATTTTAAATATATGAGTTGCTACTTACGTATACGCTTCAAACATATGATACAAAACAACTGTAACGGCATCATTTAATAACGATTCGCCAAATACTACTATGTACAGTACTTCATCTACATGGATTTCTTCAAAAACGGCTAGCACCGCTACTGGGTCCACTGCAGATATTAGGGCAGCGAATAAGAGCATGTCTAAAAGAGGGGTTGTGCACCCAAACATTCCGGTCTGACCACAAGCCCAGAGGGACGCCCCTGTTGACAAGGCAATGCATGGTAAGATTCCCTAGAACACAATGTATTAAAAAACATTTTCTTTTATTTCATCCATAATTTGACAACTTACCAATAGTCAGGGTGTTGAACACAGTCCCGACCACCGCAAATAACAGAATTGTTCCAAGGTGATCAAAAAACAATCTATTTGGCATGAAGTAGCCGGCGTCTAGGATGATAGGTGGCAGCATGTATAAAAAGAAAGTATCTGGTGTCAATGGCTGCACATGTACACTGTGCGTACTTAATAGTAGAGCCCCTATGAGGACCCCTACAAATATTAGAAGACAAGACTCGGGAAACATTTTGGACAACTTCGGCGCCATGTGAAATCCTGAAACAAATATTTACCGTTTTAGTAAATTACATACATATAATTATGCATGACCTCACGACTATCTCCCTTTGGGGTAAGCAGAGACTATGGAATGCCAATTATGACGATTCATATATACCTCTTTCGCTTCATCAACAGTCATCAGTCTTTTCATGCAAGGTCGTTGGTTAAGGGTACCTACTTTTAAATTGGCCCTTCTTCAATACGTTGCCAATATGTTCGTGTATGGCGCTCTCTACTGATGGCCCCATTCATATCCATATTTTATACTTCTACTTTATTTTCATTCATCCTTTCTACATGTCCAAACCATCGTAACATTTTAGTAAATCCTCACTTGATCAAAGAACATGTCATCTGATACCGGCGATTGAACCAGGTACTGTGAGATGTATAAAGTTTTGTGATTGATTGCAATATCACGATATCTTTTCTTTACCTCTATATTTGAAAAGAACGACCTTTTTTAAGGGAATGATATGAGAATTAGATTAGAATAAGCAGGAAGGAATAACAGATTAAAGTATACTTTCATAGATATTTATCTAATGTATTGATGTGTACCTTGTGTTTTGTAGAAACAGAGTCGGTTTAATTTCACGATAAAAAAGTTACGAATCTAAAACAATAAATTACATCTTTTTGGTTGCTGTCAAAGTGTCAATAAAGAAGTGACATTATAAATGAAAAATGATAAAAACATATAAAAATGTAATTATTTCAGTGATGGATAATAAAACGACGAACTAAAAATATTTCATAAATTTCATCCACCAATTTGGTTTTGTAAAATTAATATACAAGTAAGCAAATAAAATCGGACTATGTCACCTGATTCAAAGGCGAACAGGCTACTTCATACTAAATCTTATCCTAGTTTTTACGATATATTTGGCGATACGTCGTATACTAATTTGATTCACAACAAGGGCATCACCAAACCGAGAGGTAATTCAGTGTTTCAAGCTGCAGGCGGGGAGTCATTGGGTTGCGATTACCTAATGTCCAAAAGTACAAATTACGTTACTAGTGAACAATACAACAGACTTATTCAAGAAAGCACCTGCAAAAATATAGCGCCTTCTACAAGTACTATTTTTTATGATTTGGATGAAATTGCTAAAAGACACTCATTTCATTGCCTTACTGAACTTAGTATATCAAATTCCAATTTAATAAAAATGACACGCATGGCACCATCCCATCGCGTTAGGAGAAAAATCTGAATCGATTAGTCAAGCATATGCAACTCAAATGCACACAATACCACGTGATAGTAAAGAATTGAATCCCAAGAGAGTAAAGAAAAAATCTTCACAAATTTCTTCTGAAATGGCATCGTTAAAAGAAGATGAAAAAATACACGATTTTAACAAATATTATCACAATAATAATTTGCCTGAGAGACCTCAAAAATTTTGGTCTTTTGCAAAATATCGTACAGAATACACGAATCCTATACAAGAAGAAAAACGGTTGAGAAAGAAGGACAGAGGAAAACATGCAGAGGACCCGTGTCCATGTCAATTGTTTTCTTATACATGTTCTTGTAATGATAAAAAATCTCTTTCCGAGCTAGTAAATGTCAGTAAGTCTTTAATAAATGTTATGGACCAGATTACAAGTACTAGTAAAATTGTAGAAGATAGCAAAGTTAACAAGACAAAAAAGGTTAAACGAGAACTTGTAAGAGAAGATAAGCCGACTAACACTAGTAAAGTACAAATGATTGAAGTCATTGTTCCTAATGAAAAGAAAGGCTCGGCAATGAATGCTGCATGTAACAATGAAATACCTATTTTAAGTGATAAGAGTAGCGATGAAAAACATGCGAAAGATAAAATCAAATCTCGAAAAATGTCTCGAAAGGTATTATGCCCAAATTGCAAAGAAAAAGTTGATGTAGTAATCAGTATAAGTACTACAGAAGAAGAGACAAGTCTAAAATATAAACATTCTTCAATATATCGCTCTAAAGAAATACCATCAACCACAGCATATGCTTGCAGAGCTTCACCGAATGGTCCAACAGTCAAGAATATAGATAATAGTGATTTATGCTTACACGAGCCTCCTTGTGAACTAGTGCCAGTCTGTCAAATACTACCAACTGATAATAATTTTTATAACGGAAATCATAAAAAACATTCTGCTCCTAAATCGACACCTCGTGTCATAAGAATAACGAAAGCTTGCAGGCATCATCCACCTTGTACTGTGGTTCCATCCTGCCAGAGAGCTAATGTTTTGAAAAATAATTGCGAATATATTCCTCCTTGTTTACATCGACCTCGTTGCGTAAATTTGCCTTTATGCGCACCTTTTTCAAAAAGTTTACATTACGAAGAAACCACAAATAAAGGTGAAGACGGCATAGATGTATCTGACTGTCCACATGTCCCTAAATGCAAATATATTCCAGTTTGTGAACACGACTCAATTACGAATACTATGAACCATCAAATTAACATTGTCTCTCGAGTAGCGAATGCGTGCGAATTTTTGAATGATTACAATTCTCCTGGTTTTTTGCTAAATGCTAAATCACCCTGTGAAACCAATACATTTTCTCCTTGTCAAATAAATCCCAACCTATGCTTTACAACAGATCATTACACCTGCATATCTGATAAGTCATGCCAATTTGAAGCTTCACACAAACCCCATGAAGCGAAAGAAAATCAGAGTCGTGAAACCATTATATTTATAAGAGACGTTGGTTGCCAGTTCAGAAACAAAGATTATTCTCCCAAAGATTCTGCAGTGCATTCAAAAGGTTCAAGTAAATCATTTGATTTTCTTGACGTTAAAATGGGTAATTATTACACAAACATTCATACCATGAGATATGAAGATAAGCATACAAGTCCTTTATCTGGAGAGGATTACTCCTTCACAACTATCTCTAGTTCATTAGATCTTGAATCGGAATGTCCATCTCACGGCCGGCACCACGTGGGACCCAACCACCATCGTAGGACAGGGTTTATACCCAAATCGGCTTATGTCACAGCATTCTCATCCGTCCCAGAAAGCCAATCATCTAAGTATGAAGCCGATAATAAATTGGATGGAGTCAAATCTCGTAGAAATTTTTTAAAAGGCAAATATAGAAAAATGTTTTCTGTAAAACGGAGGAGGAAATCTAAAAGTGGTAATCATACTAATAATATACCTATTATGGTTCAAAATGGTTAGTGTTTCAATTTTTGTGTTTCGTATGTTTTTTTATTCGTCTGTACCTAATATTGACAATAAAGATTTTTCTTATTGATTATTCACTAATAACTTGATATAAGTATTTTGTCTCTTGGTTATTTTGCCTATGATTACGTTTAAAGTTTGTGCCGTGAGGAAAGGCAAGCACTGAATCCCGATGAGATTCAACGAATGTAGGTCAGCTCCACGTTGCACCGGAGGAAGCTGTACTGATTTTGCCTAACTTGTTAATTTGCAAACGCCGCAAGTAACTTAACTCGCATGAAGATTTTAGTATAGAACCATTAATCAATCATTTGTATGTAGGTAGGTATGCTATTAAGCAACATAGAAATAATTAACAGTAGAAACTTGCATAGACAAATCTACTTATCTATATTTTTTAAATTATCTATAAACACAATTAAAGATCCTCCCTTGTTTACGTTGGTAAGATATTTAGGTACCAAGCAAGTACTTAGTAAACAGCTAAATAAGTGTTGACATGTACACTAAAGTCAAATCTAGTTATTGTACTGCAGTACTGCATATGGTAGATATATCAATGTATGTAATTTGAGATTAACCAGTGGAAAATATATACCTAATACAAGGACAAAAGAAACATTGATATTTTAGGACTTTGTACGTATTATACCGCCTTTACTACCATCGTCATTTTTGTCATCATCACATCACACAACAGACTTCCACCATTCCCACGAAAGTTTGTATTTGGATTAATACATAGTACCGATTCAGATAGGTATCTAATCTACTAATTCTGCTCAATCGATACAACAACCCTAACCTAATTAATCGAGTTAATTTACTAATGCTGTCCATATTCGTGCGCTATTTAGTACTATTATTTCAGCAGTTCATCCCTATGATATTATAATTGTAATATAGGTAATGTCCCATTAAAAAAAATTGTAGGTTTATATTTTGGCCATAAATAAAAAGTTAGTCAAATGCATCCTCCTCAGCTACGAAAAATAAAGAAATCTCGAAATATAAAAATCTAGGTACAATAGCCATAAATATTTATAAATTGTTGAATTATACGGTAAATATAACTCACCTATTTTTGCTATGCTAGCGAAGAAAATCCATAATCCTATTAAGAAAGGCGTTTCAACCCGATGAAATTCAAAGGCTGCAATGACTAATTTCTTCACCTTCTTCTCTGGTGTTTCTGTACTTGGTAAATTAGTGGTAGTATCCTGGTGTTGGCGAAGTTGAGTGCCTGGTGGTTCTCCAGGCAACGGCGCCACGGGACCCATGGGCCCGAACCCCAGGCCGGGGTATGTGGAAATCCCATCGACTGTTATGGACGGACTTTGTTTCGTGGTGCTCTGAAAATAAAACAAAAATTATAAGTTGAATGTACCTAAACCCATTTCGAAACGCCAAATATTTACATTTAAATGTTGATGAAGAGTAAGGTATAACACTAATTTGTCTATGTAGGTAAGCCACTGCTTAGTTAAGGCACTCCCTAACTATTTCAGTTTTAGTCAAGGACATCCGTTGCAGTCACACATACAGTGACAAAAGTGTCATATAAAATCCATATACAGTTTCATTAAAGACTGGTTTGATAGGTGCTAGATATCTATGAATAGACCTGTCAATTCCAGTGTGTTTCAATCGCCTACGAGCACCTATTTATAGAATAGCAAACTGGAACTAGCTGTTTTGCAAACTTACCTACATGCCTATACTGTATATGTATTCGTTGCACACGGTAAATAATGAAATCCTCTTAAAGGAAGGTTATTTCTCTTCTCTCCTGGAGAAAGAATGAGTATTATGCCTAAAAGAGGGTGCCGTGTCTTCAAGTCAAACTATATCTTCCTTATTTACCAAAATCTCGCATTCGTATTCCTTTACTGAGGAATTCCATTTCATTCTTTCTTATAGTTCACTTACACCCAAAGCAAAGATGGCGTCTTTTGTGCGTTCACGGTCCGAAAAATCCGGTGCCTTTATACAATTTCCCTACGATCTCCAGGTACCTAAATATTGTAGGTTACCGTTCGTTAGACGTTTCATCCCAAATTGAATAAGGTTTTGTAAAACCTTCGTATCCATAGCCAATGTATACACCAGTATCTATACAGTGGCTATAAGCATCTTATACCAATATTGAATTCTGTAATGTTAGTTTTAATTAGTGTAGAAACGTAAATATTCCTTAATGAAGTTAAAAATGATTATTTCACTCACACTTCAATTCCCGTTAAAGTTTCCAGGTCAAACTACCTAGTGCTTGTAATAAAATGTTTTTATGTTTCAATTATTTGCTATCCTCCACGCTAGTTAATGGTAAGGATCATTCGTATGACCTTCAAATTCATTAACATTTCATCCAGTATTATAGTGTTCTATAGTGTTCACTAAACTTTAGAGAGAAGTGGTCGAGGGTTCTTTCCAGTTAGTCATCTTGACCTTGGCCACAGACCGGCTTTGTCTTGCAACCTCGGCCTTCGCCGAATTGGTGAGGAGTGTTCTACTTATGGAAATGCTAACCGCTTTTATGTGCCAGCATTTATCTTTAAAATAAAGACAAAAATGTCTAGAGGATATTATTATCTATCTCTAGGCTCTACAGTTATTTTTGTTACAAGCTTAATATTGCTTTGCCTAGCCCTAGACAAAATATTTCATTGGATTTTAAGCTGTTTATAAAATAGGTACCCCAATTAATATTACTTCGAATTATTGCCTTCAATGAGTCTTAAAAAAAACAAACGAAAGAAAAACATAGGTAGTAAATAAGGACAATGAGTGGTACCCCACTCATTGTCCATTATTTACTTGAAGAATGTTAGGTACCTTAAACCATTATTTATTAACTTTAGTCTCTATCCCATCTATTAAACGACAGCTCGGATCGTTTCATTATTCACGACCACGTTTAAAATGGACCTATGTACTTAGAATAATTAGGCTTCCTAATTTCATGCCCTGGGTTAGGTCATGACGTTTGACGGGATTTCGCCGGTTTGGTTTGATGAATTAAATTGGTAATTTGTTTAATTATTCCACGAAACGTAATAGTAACCTAAGTACTGTACTTATTTACGTAAGTTGCATAACAATAAAAATCATTTGTTTTTCCCTGGGTGAGTTCTTTTCAGTCAGCAAAACAACAATACAAAAGCAAAACAAGATGACAAGAAAAAAATAATGTTACAACTATAATTGAAAAATCTGGAAAAATCGGTCATAAATCTACGCTAATATGTACAAAAAATAATTACTATACATACTACTTATTGGATGTATTATTGTTGGGTATAATAGAGATCAAATTATATAAATATTTAAACCAAATAGCAAATAGAGGAGAATAGGCTTAAACAAGCCATAATAATTGCAATTTATTTTAAACATTTAAATAACTGAACATACTTAATTATTATTACGTTTAAAAATTGACAATTCTCTACATTTTAGTCTCTTTAGGAATATATTGGAAACTTAAAAATAATACTAGTTCGTTTAAGACAATAATACAAGAATCGTTGGAAGAGTCTAAGCTCTACCTAGCAACAAAGATAAAATCAATTTCGTCATCAATTGAAAAAAAAAATAGTCCGTGCTATTTGAAACGAAAAAAAAACTGTTTTAAGTCAGATAAGATACTTGGAATAATAACCTTGAAGACGCTTGATTGCTCAGAAACTGGTTTTAATATGAATAATTTATTGAAATTTATACAAAACTGGCACAAGAAATGAATTAGAAAATCAAAATGTTGGTCGCCCGAACAGGGACTTGAACCCTGGACCCTTGGATTAAAAGTCCAATGCTCTACCGACTGAGCTATCCGGGCCGTACAGACACTGACGAAATAACGGGTCATATAACAAGATAGCGTGGACGATGGCTCGTAGCGTACAAATAAATTATGAATCACCTTTGTTACCGACTTTGGCAAATATTAAATGTGATTGTGCAATATTATTAATGTTACTTATTGTACGTTTTCAAACGATTCCAATAATTAAACTCGTTCTGTGTTTTTTACATACTAGTCGCCCTTAGTAGGTAGTTAAATATAGAAAACAAAAAATGAAGTAAGTATATTTTTTTAAGAAAGGTTTGTAATTTTGTTCATTTTCGTTATTCGATATGTTCGATTCGGTTAAACTAAAAACACTAAGCACATCACTAAAAAATACTATTTTTCAGTAATGTTTTAAAATTACTCTCTTATTGAAGCCTTGTTCTGACAATAACGAACACGACAAAAATAAATATCAGAACCGGTCCCTCTGTTTTCAAGTTTTGCGCAACAACGCAAGGGTGATTTTAATTATTTATTTTTTCTATAGATTTGAAATAAATTCTTTGACCTTGCTTGTTGCAATAACAAAGAAATATTATAATATCCTATATGAATATTATTCCTCAGATAAATTTTGTTTGTTCTTCATCTGTAGCATAGCTTAAAGGACCGAAGTACATAATCATGTAAAATCACTTTTTTGAGATTAAAATGTTATACCTAACAAAGCGTAACTATACCGTCACCATTTACGTTCTAACGACGGTTTAATTAGATTGTACATATTTACGCATACTAAAATGTTTATTATTTAATCAAGTTTGGCTAATCCATCAGGGAACAATGTTTGAAACTTATTATATTTTTCAAAAGTTTCGGAAAATATTATTTTATTAAGTATCTACTATCTAAGTAGTTAATTATAATAATGCGTCATAAAATCTACGTAACAATCTGTGTTAGCACAATTGATTACCATCCCAATGAATTTTTAACAGTTAATCAAATAAAACAAGTCTCTCCAAATAGTCTAATGAATAAATTAAATGAAAGTTGATCAATGTTCCTTTGTTTCTGTTGACTCCTGTGCGTGATGGTAGTGACGATATTTATGTAAAAAAGTATCCAAAGATATTTTAAAAGACATGGCTTTTTATAAGTTAAAAAAGAAGTAGTCTCAATAGTTTATGTTTCCTTTTACTGCGATTCTCCTCATATATCATATTATTTTTTTTATAAATTATAACAAAACGTATCGCCCGAACAGGGACTTGAACCCTGGACCCTTGGATTAAAAGTCCAATGCTCTACCGACTGAGCTATCCGGGCCGTACAAAGACTCGCAAAACAACCCAACGCTACCCAAGCACTTGAACAAAGAGAGCAAAGAAGGTAGCTTCAATTGTTTTTTTTTATATACAAAGTAACGTTAGCCCCATTCTTCTTGTCTATGTTAACATGAATGGGTAACAAATCAATAAGTGAACGGCATTTGAAATATTGGCTATGCCATTGGCCCTTTTTTTCATTTTGGCACCGTTCCCTGTCTCGTCCTAAGCTGTACTGTATTATGAATGGTTATTTCGACCTCACTTGTATAGCCCGGATAGCTCAGTCGGTAGAGCATTGGACTTTTAATCCAAGGGTCCAGGGTTCAAGTCCCTGTTCGGGCGACCACCTTTTTATTTTTAGCCATAAATAAGAAACGTTTTTATATTAAATTTTATTTTGTTCTTATTTTGCGTTAAAGCTAAGTTTTTATAAAATGTTTTTAATAAAGGCATGTCGGTTGCAGACGCTTTTAACTGGACTGCAGAGGAAAGTATAATATTTTCAGTGTTAGCGCACTGGGACGATTAATTATGTAGTTGTTGACAGTTGAAACCGCAATGGATTTGCATTTATAAATTCACAAAACTTTATTTGTCTGTAATACTTACTCGAAACAATGATGTTTTTAGGTTGTTGAACTTTAAAAAAAATACCTAGATAATAATAGTACCTATCTACGAAATGCAGCCCTAGCCATTAGCCAAGTTCAGTACTTCTCGTTTATAAAATTTTCATTGCTTTAGACGGAAAACAAAAGTATGGGGATTTCTTACCATAATCGATAAGTCACGTGGTTAGCAAATCGATTATAATAATTATCTATATTTATTTAATTCCTAAAACGTTAACGATTTTAGATATACTCAACATAACTACAAGTGCTGATTTACATTCTTTCAACATTAGGTACATATCTTCGCTAAAAGTAATTATTATCGAGTGAATTGATCTGTTGCCTTTCGTAGTGACATTTTAATAGATTGACTTAGACATCGTATCCTGTGCCATTACTCCAATTACCTCCTAATGTCACTACGTATGTACGTGAGATAAAATGATATTAGCTATAAAGCAATTAGATAATGAACAACTACCTATCTCAACGTATCACACAGAACTGTTCATTTAGTAATTACTAGGTCCCCACTATGAGGATTTTCAGTCGCTAAAACATCTTTCTTTGAAATCTCTTTTTTTTCTAATCTTCTACCTTATTACTAGACAATACAGTCGAAAATTTGTTAAAATGTTATCGTTAGTTAGTACATAAAGACGTAGGCATATTATAGGCAGATTTTGTCCATTTCAGTCGGTCTTAATTTTACACGTTTAAAATGCTTTATCGTTACTACGCTAAAGTGTAAAGGATTTTGACATTGAAATGGGTTTGGCACTTGGCAGCCTCGGTGTCGAAATTACTTTATTCTGTTTTTGATACCGCATTTTAATTCTGTAAGTACTGTACCTAATTCGAAAAGTGACCGGTGCTAAAATGCCTAACTTTCTTCAATAGCAATATAAGAAGTATTGGGGAAAATAAAATTACGTTTCTGAAATTCAATCACTACGTCTTCTGTACTCTACCTATGAATTTACAAAGTATGAATTTACTAAAAATGTTTTCTTTTATTGTGTCTAATTAAAAATTATGTCCTACCTTTGTTCAATGATAGAGATAATAAAACAATGTCACTTACTTCGACAGGATTGCATTGTATGTTGGACAGGAGGGCAGCGGCTATCGCGCCCCACACGAGGGATCGCCTGCAGGCGCGCCGGCTCAAATTGACACCGTGCTTTAATGACGTCATGGCGGCAACACTATCACCTCACCAACATTGACGGCAATATATCACAACCACTGTCAACACTCAGTCACATCACAAACTGCACTGTTTAAAATCTCATTACTTTATAATCTCACAATTCGTAACGCCGCGCCGATAGCCATAAATAATACTATTTTTTAGCACTATTGTTATAGCAACGTTATGTTTTAGTTGAATTCCACAGTTAGCTCTCTATATTGAGAAATATCATCACAATTAACTGCGTTGGTGGTGGAGGACGTGGGTGTTCGTTTATCAGACTTTCAATTTCAATTTTAACACTGGTCATTTTAATTTGCTGGTTTATTGGCAATTTAAAAACGATGTAGTAGTTAACAAGGTGTCACATTATGAAATGTTTCGAGGGTGTATTAAAAATCAGTTACGGTAGTTAGAATGGTTCAAATTTAATAAAAAATATATACTTATAAGTTATGCATGTTGTAGAACTCAAGGATCACGTACACTGTAAGTAAATGTTTACGTTTATAGGTACCTGTCCTTATCGCCAGTCGTTATGTGAGGTAGTAGGTACCTACGCCTATTCATAAGGAATTAAGATTTGATTAACTAAACAAGCATTCACAAACCAAATGGTTACTTTGTTCCAATTCTTCCCTAGCTATCATACCAAAAACAATAAGGAAAAAATTGCATATAGGTACACCTATATATACGTATAAGTGTACCTACGTATATATTTAACTATAATACATCAGTTTCTCTAAATAATTTGTAGTCGATAATTACATTTAAACACTTTGTAAGTAATTATGAAAGATTCGTTTCGCAAATAATGCACGTTCACATTATTATTAGCACAAAACGTGTTTAGAAAGTTATTGTTAATTAAAATAGACGGGTCATTAATCAATACAAATTACTAATAATAAACAAGGTACTAATAATAACCCTGAAAATTGAGACTACGACAGAGAAATCTTTTCAGTCTCATCACGTTGAACCGCTGAAATTATATGAACAAAATTAATGTCGTTGCTAGTATAAAGAGAAAGTTAATTTTCATTTATATGAAAAATGAGTGTTCTTGATGGGTCGCAGAGAATCATAATGTAATATGGCAATGGGCTGTGGGCGGGCGACGCCGACGCCAGGCCGGCGCCGCTCCGCCCTTGCGCCAACTCCAAGGATGTTGACTGACTCCACAGGACTTGTACAAATGTCGTATTCATTAGCTTTACACGACCGTTCACTGTATTGGCATTGATCCCATGTCTAAAAGCTCGAGGACATTGGGCTATATTGTGCTAAATACATTATGTAGAACGGCCATGTGTTTTGGCGAAATGAATTGGTAATTCTTTCCGTTTGCTATGGTAATCTTGAAATGCAAATAGCATGACGCCATCATCGGCCCCGCCGTCATGGCATTGTCAAATTGCCTGCTAGAATTTAGCTATAAAATATATATATTGACATCACTAAGATTTGAATGGTGTGATGTCCATATCCTTGTTGTAATGTATCTACCTACATTTAATTTACATTTAAGTTGTAAATAGTTTGTCTTTTACCCTACAAATATAGCGAACGCATTTAATAAATATTTTATTGAAAAAGTACAACCTACCGTTGGTACAAGTAAAGAAACTACGAGATTGATTAGCCACAACACTAACTCCATGTTCATGTCCCCTTGTCTACCGATTCAGATGTTAAGAATTATAAATAATTTAAGAAACACAAATAGTGTCGGTTATGACGGAATACCCACTAAAATAATTAAATCAGTAGATTGCAGTATTGCAGGCCATTTAAGCCATATCTTAAACCTGTGTATAGTAAATGGTACGTTCCCAAAAAACTTAAAACTAACTATCATAAAACCCTTGCATAAAAAAGAGGATAAATTTTTAATGGAGAACTACCGACCAATAGCTCTTATACCTATATTCTCGAAAATATTTGAGAAATACTTGTACACAGAAATCAATAGTTATTTAAAAAAACATAAGATTCTATGTAATAATCAAAAGGGTTTCAGGCAAGGAAATAATATTAACATGGCAGTTTATGACTTCTTGTACGATGTATACACTCATGTCGACAAGTCTTTGCCTGTCTGCTCAATATATTGCGATATGTCTCAAGCTTTTGACTGCGTAGATCATAATATTTTAGTAGAAAAACTGTCAGCATACGGTATACGAGGTAATATATTGGAATTGATCAGGTCATATTTAACAGATCGTCAACAAATAACAGAAATAACAAAGTTCAATCCAACAACTAAAAGGGAACAGATATTTACATCTCATAAGCGTGACGTATCCTATGGCGTCCCACAAGGTAGTGTATTAGGTCCCCTTTTGTTCTTATTGTACATAAATGACCTACCTTCGGCCACAACAGAACCTATGGTCCTTTTTGCTGACGATAGCACCGTAACAATAAAATCTAAAGATCCAAATAATTACAATTTTGAAATAAATAATTCCTTGTCAAATATAATCGACTGGCTTAATAACAATAATTTAAAAATTAACCTCAAAAAAACCAATATAATGCACTTTAGACAGCGAGAAAACATCATCAATTCACTACCAGTTAATCTAATTTATAACGAGTATACTATAGAAAAAGTGGACACAACTCGATTCTTGGGTTTAATTATTGATAGTCAACTCAGTTGGAAAAACCATATTGACGGACTAAGTAAAAAAGTTAGTAAGTCAGCATACGCCCTTTATAAACTGGCACCTACCGTTAACAAGGAAACTTTACTCACAGCATATTACGGCCTTGTCGAGTCGGTACTGAGGTTTGGGATAATCTTTTGGGGTAATTCCACTCACAAGGATATAGTCTTCAAACAACAAAAACGTTGCATAAGAGCTATGTTCGGAATAAAAAGTATGGACAGTTGTAGGCCGCTATTTGGTGAATACAAAATTTTAACACTTCCGTCTTTATACATACTTGAAGTTGCATTGTTTGTTAGAAGCAACTTGCACTTGTTTCCGCGCTTATCCGAATATCATGTTAGAAATCGACGTAATAATAACATTTGCATTCATCCATCTAGAACTGCATTGTTGCACAAAAGCATATTATGTCTGGGTCCTAAAATTTATAATAAAATACCTAAATGCATACAAGCCTTAAATTTTAATATGTTTAAAAATAAACTTAAACGTTTGTTACATAAGAAATGTTATTATAATATAGAAGATTTTTTAAAAGATAAATTTGACTTGTAATACAATTAACATAATTTTGTTGTACCTGTAACGGTTAATATTGTCCTTTATGTCTTTTTTGCTTATTTAGGTTTGCATGTTTATATATTTTTTTTTTCACTACCTACTTTAATATTAAATAATAATTTTAAATATTTGTACGCCAAAACGGCATAACATGTAGCTCATACTCGTAACTTAACACCATTGCATGTACTCTTGTAATATTACTCATGTTAACGCAAATAAAAAATATCTTTATCTTTATCTTTATCTTTATCTTTACAGTACATAATTTTATACTATTTTGTGAGTTTATTAAGCCAAAATATTTACAGACTTTTCAGTTTTCTTCATAATTAATAACAGAAGCGATGTATATAAGCATTTAGCGATATGTGTATTGTGTACCTATATATGTCCGTTTTAAGACCAAAGGCTTTTTTGATATAGGTAAATTAAACTAACAACACCTACGAGACACGTTCCAGAATATCGCACAATGAAACTGCAACTCCGTAAGATACTTATCAAATAAATAAAAATCAATCTTTAAACAGATCAATTTGAGATGCAAACTCGCAGAACTAACCTTGTTGTTTTCTGTGAAAATTGGATAAAGTGGTTTAAAGTTATCAAGGTTGCCAGTAAGAAGGTCGGATCTAGTACTACTAAGTGAGGATAAATATTTAAACAGTCTCCAAGGACGAATGCAACTAAACCTCATATTTATTTTCATCGAACGGGGAAAACAACACAAGCTGTTAAAAAACTGAGCCCAAACAAAGTTTACAGTGACTGCTCTAACTTATTTATTTGTATAGTTTAACAAGTGCCTAAATAAGTACCTATGTTTTAATATCTAATTGTATTAGGTTAACCTTATAAATGTCGTTAATATATCACAACAGTGAAAACTAGATTGGATAAACAAGGCACCTGACAAATAAATTAATCGTCCCTTCACAATACCCAGTTTATTATCATAAACAATGTTTCGAAAACAGCAAAGCAAAGCTACCTATTATCCCACAAAATGGATCTGGGAGCATTGTAAATGGAACACGTTCTGTCGGCACGTGGATACTCGACACATTCAGTAAATAAATCGAAACGATGCACTGCATAAAAGGGCCATAAACGAGTTAGGTAGCGAGCGTCGAGCTCCCAACTATATTTGCATACCGCACGCCTAATTCGACGCAGTTAACTACCTCTATTGTACGCTGTTTACTATTTAATATTTAAACCAAAATAATGTGACGTATGCTACAATTGCATTGTTAAATATTATTTTGTAGTGAATGAACTCTATTAATATTTTTACTCGATATTCTAGTAGAAACGTTAGTGATTTTATATAACAATTATACCATCTTAAAAAAATATCATATCTGTCTCATTAAATGTAGTAAGATTACAATCAGTTTATGTCAAAGAAAATAGATAGATGGATAGGTATGTTAATTAAACGTATGGATTATCTAATGTCTATTCTGATTTTGCGCCTTAGTAATTCCAGAAATGTTTCCGCTTGAAATATTTTGTGTACCCTTGACCGCATTGCCACACCCGGCTGGGTTAGACGCACAATCTAGTTAAATTTATAACCCGTAGGAAACTGACGGCTGCCCCATTCTTCGTAAGACTTGCCCTACTTGTGTCAATATTTTACAACTGTGCCCATGATTTACCTACTTTGAGTTAATTAAACAGGAATATCCTATTAGCATGTTAATCACGTTGCATTAATTCTTTAAATGTCTACGAATACTAAATCGT